GAAAATAAAAAAAAAATAAAAATAAAAAAAAAAAAAACTATATATTGGGAAAGAGCTATAGAGAGGAGGCACTAAACCAAAGGCTTGAATGATCGATGCGCTCAGCCTTGTCTAACAAGGCTGTTCGAGTTCTATGAGAAGATGTGAGTACTGTCGTTGGGGAAATTTCTAGGTTGACTGCATATTCCCGGGCTACCAAATAGTCCTTGGTACTCTGCTCGCGTGTATATTTGAGAAGCGGTTTGGAGTACATGGAAGTTTAGTGAACTGGGAGTGAGTACACCAGTCTATTACTTGACAGGGTGTACTGTCCCAGGATAGTACAGGAGGAAAACGTTACTTGACAGTAGATGGGGAGGAAAATATACTGTGACAGGAGACGAAGAGACGTCTCTCCTCTACACCCACAGGAGACAACACTGGCAGCTACACCCACAGGAGACACCACTGGCAGCTACACCCACAGGAGACAACACTGGCAGCTACACCCACAGGAGACAACACTGGCAGCTACACCCACAGGAGACAACACTGGCAGCTACACCCACAGGAGACAACACTGGCAGCTACACCCACAGGAGACAACACTGGTAGCTACACCCACAGGAGACAACACTGGCAGCTACACCCACAGGAGACAACACTGGTAGCTACACCCACAGGAGACACCACTGGCAGCTACACCCACAGGAGACAACACTGGCAGCTACACCCACAGGAGACAACACTGGCAGCTACACCCACAGGAGACAACACTGGCAGCAACACCCACAGGAGACACCACTGGCAGCAGCACCCACAGGAGACAACACTGGCAGCAACACCCACAGGAGACAACACTGGCAGCAACACCCACAGGAGACACCACTGGCAGCAGCACCCACAGGAGACAACACTGGCAGCTATTTGTTTGATAAATGTTTGATAAATCAAACAAATGTTTGATTTATCAAACATTTATATGTTTGATAAATCAACAAATTCAATATTTATTTCCAAACCAGTATTTACCCAGGTCTTTACTGAATTTAAACTTATCCAATTTATATTCATTACGTCTTCTATTTTTGTTGGTGATATATTGAAAACCTTTTTGATATCCCCCCCCCTTGTTATATTCTTTTAAGTCTTTTTTACATTTACCTGCTTCATTTATGTCACCGCTAATTCTTCGTCTTTCTATAGAATGTAAATTTAACTTTTAAATCTCTTTATAAGATCTATAATGATTGTCATCCTTCTTTGTTAGCGTTCAAGTGAATCTATAGTGTACATTCTATAGTTGGAAGACTAAATTTTAACACCATAATGTTAAATGTAGGGGATGAGGATAAGGATTTGGGATGGGACGGGGGAAAGGAATGGTACCCAGCCACTTGGACGGTCGGGGATTGAGCGCCGACCTGCAGGAAGCGAGACTGTCGTTCTACCGTCCAGCTCAAGTAGTTGGGGCCTAACAAGGGCAAGATAAAGCCGAAGAATGACATTTGTCGTCTTACTGTAATGGTACAAGAAATAGATTCCAGTATTCTACTTCCTTTATTCCGTACCTTTAGACATTTATTATTTTGCCTATAAGATCCCAGCTAATCATGACTCACAGATCTTTTAACCGTTCTGATTTCGCAATTTAAGCATTGTCCAGCTGTTATCTGGGAGCCCTCATATTAATCTTGGGTCAGAACCACACGTTTTCAGCATTAAACAGTCTCTGGTGCCGTCATGGTACAGGAAGCCTCGAAATAAAGAATATAGCCAAGATTAAGTACAGTTACATCTGGTTTGTATCGGGATGGGCGGGTGTGTCCAGGGGGCCTGACAGCTGAGTGGACAGCTCTTCGGGTTCGTAGTCCTGAGGTTCCAAGTTCGATCCCCGGTGGAGGCGGTGACAAATGGGCAAAATGTTTCTTTCACTCTGATGCCCCTGTTGCCTTGCAGTAAATAGGTACCTGGGAGTTAGACAGCTGCTACGGGCTGCTTCCTGTGGGGACGGGGGACGCTAAGCCCCGAGATCATCTCAAGATAACCTCAAGATAGGTCCCCTGTGGCTACGGGATACCTCAGTAAGCCAAATACCTTAAAATAGCCTAAGCTACTCAATTCCTTTAAGATGTATTTCTTTCTTGTCTCAATAAACTTGTCTCATACTTGAACTTGAACCAAACACCTTTCCTGACCTCAGGTCTGGTGTTTCCTTACCAACAATTGTTTACAATATTGTTGCAAGAATTATTGAATATTTTAGGAACTTTTATAACTTGAATTATGGCATTGGGTTTTATTATTAAGGAAGCTGATTATCTTGTGAATTATTAAACCAGTAATTAAGGCTAAGAAAAGATTGCAGCTGGAATAATTACTGTATCAGTAATTATTATCAGTAATGTATAATTATAATATCGAACCATTCATGCAACACTGACACACAGCCCAGTCATGCAACACTGACACACAGCCCAGTCATGCAACACTGACACACAGCCCAGTCATGCAACACTGACACACAGCCCAGTCATGCAACACTGACACACAGCCCAGTCATGCAACACTGACACACACAGCCCAGTCTTGCAACACTGACACACACAGCCCAGTCATGCAACACTGACACACAGCCCAGTTTTACAACACTGATACACACAGCCCAGTCATGCAACACTGACACACAGCCCAGTCATGCAACACTGACACACAGCCCAGTCTTGCAACACTGACACACAGCCCAGTCATGCAACACTGACACACAGCCCAGTTTTACAACACTGACACACAGCCCAGTCATGCAACACTGACACACAGCCCAGTCTTACAACACTGACACACACAGCCCAGTCTTACAACACTGACACACACAGCCCAGTTTTACAACACTGACACACAGCCCAGTCATGCAACACTGACACACAGCCCAGTCTTACAACACTGACACACACAGCCCAGTCTTACAACACTGACACACAGCCCAGTCATGCAACACTGACACACAGCCCAGTCTTACAACACTGACACACAGCCCAGTCATGCAACACTGGCACACAGCCCAGTCATGCAACACTGACACACAGCCCAGTCATGCAACACTGACACACACAGCCCAGTCATGCAACACTGACACACAGCCCAGTCTTACAACACTGACACACACAGCCCAGTCTTACAACACTGACACACACAGCCCAGTCATGCAACACTGACACACACAGCCCAGTCATGCAACACTGACACACACAGCCCAGTCATGCAACACTGGCACACAGCCCAGTCTTACAACACTGACACACAGCCCAGTCTTACAACACTGACACACAGCCCAGTCATGCAACACTGACACACAGCCCAGTCTTACAACACTGACACACAGCCCAGTCTTACAACACTGACACACAGCCCAGTCATGCAACACTGACACACAGCCCAGTCATGCAACACTGACACACAGCCCAGTCTTACAACACTGACACACAGCCCAGTCATGCAACACTGACACACAGCCCAGTCATGCAACACTGACACACAGCCCAGTCATGCAACACTGACACACAGCCCAGTCTTACAACACTGACACACAGCCCAGTCTTACAACACTGACACAGCCCAGTCATGCAACACTGACACACAGCCCAGTCTTACAACACTGACACACACAGCCCAGTCTTACAACACTGACACACAGCCCAGTTTTACAACACTGACACACACAGCCCAGTCATGCAACACTGACACACACAGCCCAGTCATGCAACACTGACACACAGCTCAGTCATGCAACACTGCCACACAGCTCAGTCATGCAACACTGACACACAGCCCAGTCTTACAACACTGACACACAGCCCAGTCTTACAACACTGACACACACAGCCCAGTCTTACAACACTGATACACACAGCCCAGTCATGCAACACTGACACACAGCCCAGTCATGCAACACTGATACACACAGCCCAGTCATGCAACACTGACACACAGCCCAGTCATGCAACACTGATACACACAGCCCAGTCTTACAACACTGACACACAGCCCAGTCATGCAACACTGACACACAGCCCAGTCATGCAACACTGACACACAGCTCAGTCATGCAACACTGACACACAGCCCAGTCATGCAACACTGATACACACAGCCCAGTCTTACAACACTGACACACAGCCCAGTCATGCAACACTGACACACAGCCCAGTCATGCAACACTGACACACAGCCCAGTCATGCAACACTGACACACACAGCCCAGTCTTACAACACTGACACACAGCCCAGTCATGCAACACTGACACACACAGCCCAGTCTTACAACACTGACACACAGCCCAGTCATGCAACACTGGCACACAGCCCAGTCTTACAACACTGACACGCACAGCCCAGTTTTACAACACTGACACACACAGCCCAGCCATGCAACACTGACACACAGCCCAGTCATGCAACACTGACACACAGCTCAGTCATGCAACACTGACACACAGCCCAGTCATGCAACACTGATACACACAGCCCAGTCTTACAACACTGACACACAGCCCAGTCATGCAACACTGACACACAGCCCAGTCATGCAACACTGACACACAGCCCAGTCATGCAACACTGACACACACAGCCCAGTCTTACAACACTGACACACAGCCCAGTCATGCAACACTGACACACACAGCCCAGTCTTACAACACTGACACACAGCCCAGTCATGCAACACTGGCACACAGCCCAGTCTTACAACACTGACACGCACAGCCCAGTTTTACAACACTGACACACACAGCCCAGCCATGCAACACTGACACACAGCCCAGTCATGCAACACTGACACACAGCCCAGTCATGCAACACTGACACACAGCCCAGTCTTGCAACACTGACACACAGCCCAGTCATGCAACACTGACACACAGCCCAGTCATGCAACACTGACACACAGCCCAGTCTTACAACACTGACACACAGCCCAGTCTTGCAACACTGACACACAGCCCAGTCTTGCAACACTGACACACAGCCCAGTCATGCAACACTGACACACACAGCCCAGTCATGCAACACTGACACACAGCCCAGTCTTGCAACACTGACACACAGCCCAGTCATGCAACACTGACACACACAGCCCAGTCATGCAACACTGACAGAGGGACAACTGCATACGGTATCTTCCTGGTGTGATGGAAGGGTCTATCGGTCTATCAAGAGCTTCTGCCTGGGGCTCCTCTTGTTATGACTGAAGAGGACTTTTCTAGGGACTGTTGTGTGCTGGGTCCTCCTGGTCTGATGAGGTGGGGGACCAAGAGCTGCCGTGTGGCGGCTCCTCCTGGCCAGGAGGCAAACTGCTCGCTTCTGGGAGCGCGGGAAAATGCTCCTTGTGTCTGTGGTAAAACTCATAACACCATTGGTTGTGACTCTTCAGTATGGCGGACTTCTTCTGTAACCGCTGGTTTTCTTCCTCCAGCAACTGGTGACGCTGCTGCAGACTGTCAGACGCTTTCCTTCTCTGCCGGTACAGCTGCGACGCTTCCTTGTTCAGTTCCTGCCTCCGTCTCTTTTTGTCTTCTTCCTCCTGCAGAAACTGTCGTGTGTGTCTGTGGCGCCAACCTCCTCTCCCTCTCGGCGCAGCAGTCGTGGCCTCCACGGATGGTTGAGGGGCAGCTTCTCCTGTTGGATAGCTGCTGTGTGATGGTCCTGGCAAGTTGGTTGGTGTATGGGTGCTTTTTGCTCTCCCGGGTGAATAATGGTATGTGCTGCCGCCTGATGTCCATAACAGTGGCGGCTCCTTGCTGCGAGCTCCACCGAACATATCCGTTAGCCTGTAGAGCGTGCATGATGAAGAACCATCCTGAGGTTGTTGCTGTGGGTCCTCACTGAACTGGTACTCATCCAGGGAGAGTGGTGGGTCCTGGGGCAGTTGCTGTGGGTCCTCACTCAACTGGTACTCATCCAGGGAGAGTGGTGGGTCATGGGGCAGTTGCTGTGGGTCCTCACTCAACTGGTACTCATCCAGGGAGAGTGGTGGGTCATGGGGCAGTTGCTGGAGGTCCTCACTCAACTGGTACTCATCCAGCAAGAGTGGTGGGTCCTGGGGCAGTTGCTGTGGGTCCTCACTCAACTGGTACTCATCCAGGGAGAGTGGTGGGCCATGGGGCAGTTGCTGGAGGTCCTCACTCAACTGGTACTCATCCAGCAAGAGTGGTGGGTCCTGGGGCAGTTGCTGTGGGTCCTCACTCAACTGGTACTCATCCAGGGAGAGTGGTGGGTCATGGCGCAGTTGCTGGAGGTCCTCACTCAACTGGTACTCATCCAGGGAGAGTGGTGGGTCATGGCGCAGTTGCTGGAGGTCCTCACTCAACTGGTACTCATCCAGGGAGAGTGGTGGGCCATGGCGCAGTTGCTGGAGGTCCTCACTCAACTGGTACTCATCCAGGGAGAGTGGTGGGTCATGGGGCAGCAGCCGGAAGTGTCCAGAGTGGGTATTCCTCAGCACCTCATTAGGGTTAACGGTACCCAAACCCTAAGTACAAAAGGAAACATTTACCTCGACATTAAGAAGCAGGAGATAGTTTGTTGTTTTATATATAAATCATTTATGACAATGACACACACACACACACACACACACACACACACACACACACACACACACACACACACACACACACACACACACACACACACACACACACACACACACACACACACACACACACACACACACACACACACACACACACACACACACACACACACACACACACACACACACACACACACACACACACACACACACACACACACACACACACACACACACACACACACACACACACACACACACACACACACACACACACACACACACACACACACAGCGAGTGGACAGCACTCGGGGGGTCGTAGTCCTTAGGGCCCGGGTTCGATTCCCAGCCGAGGCAGAAACAAATAGACAGTTTCTTTCACCTGATGCCCCTGTTCACCTAGTAATAAATATAGATGCCAGGGAGTTAAACAGCTGTTACGGGCTGTATCCTGGGGCTGTGAGAGAGAGGTAAATATGTAGTAGATATGGTAGAAGAAATGGATATGGTAGAAGGTAGAACATGGTAGAATATGGCAAGAACACAGACGTGCATCACAACACCCTGCACACTGCTCCAGTACTTGAGACACAAGCTAACATTAATAACCACCACATACTACTAATAGCTTTACGGGCTATTCATGCCCGTGCCACATCTTGGGTGGCTTAATCTTTATCAATCAATCAGTAGTAGGCATCCATCAGTTTTAGGAGACTATGGAGTTGCACTCTGGTTGTCAGTCTGGAGCGACAGGGGCGCAAAGCCAAGATAGGTTGATTCAGGGGAGAAGCTGTCACCCATGCAGCAGGTCACCCCCTGTCCACGGCGCCGAAAGTCTCCAGTGGAAAGGCAAACGCCAGTACGATTGGTTCCAGCGCCGTCACAGGAACTGTCAGAACGAGGTTGAAGGCAACAACGAACTGCCCAAGGAGAACAAGAGAACATAACAAGAGAACATTCAACAATTCTTCGGAAACTTTTACATAGAAGCCTTTTACATGGAAGCCTTTTACGTGGAAGCCTTTTACGTGGAAGCCTTTTACGTGGAAGCCTTTTACACCGTTCATCACTACCTCTGCTGCACCAGAACTGGAATACCACGCCACAGTCTACAATACTCACCTAAAAACCATACACTTAAACCAGAGAAAGTTGGGAAATTTCCTAAAAGGTAAACGAGAAAGTAAAATGAGACATGTTTACGACATATACGATTCATATAAGCATAGACAAAGTATACAGAACCGAATTGTTTTAACATAAGTAGGACAAGAGGACATGGGGTGGAAATTAGTAACTGAGGTTAGCCATAGGGACGATCAAATGGGAGGCAGTTAAGAGACTAACTCCAGCCATAGTGTCAAGAGCAGGTGTGATGAGACGCCGGACCATATAGATCAGAACACCTTGAACACGGGTGTGACACGCCGGTGAACACACACCTTGAACAAGAGTAGGAGACAGGTGAACACGATGAACAAGAGTGCTAGAGTGTCACTCACCAGATCATCATCACTATCATGAGCCAAGGGCGGGCGCGTCGCGCGGTGGGGGTCACGGGCCATGGCGGCCGGGGGCGCAGGATGCCAGGGGCGCAGGATGCCAGGGTGCCGCGGGCGTCAGTGTGCCGCGGGCGTCAGGGTGCCGCGGGCGTCAGTGTGCCGCGGGCGTCAGTGTGCCGCGGGCGTCAGGGTGCCGCGGGCGTCAGGGTGCCGGGGCCGTCTGGGTCCCGGGGGCGGGTCGAGCACGTCTCCAGGGTCAGTCAGCATAAGGTAGCGAGATGGCTTGTGCTGCTGTGCGCCTGTCATGGCTGCTGGGACGTCTGGCGCTCGACTCCAGCACCACCCATATATATATATGTGTGTGTGTGTGTGGAGCACCGGGACGCGACGCGTGGAGAACAGGTAACTCCCGCGCTCACCGATCTCACCTTCTTATAGTAAACGTTTTGGTCTATTCCTTTCTAAAGACAAGCCAGGTTGACGCTCTTTCACCGCTGTCTCGGGTCTCTTTCCCTGGCCTTACTCCCTCTCTCTGCCTCACTTTCTCCACCTCTCCCACGCGTACAGTATTGTTGAGATTAGTCAAGTGGGTCAGGAAGTGTAGTGTCAGGTTGTAACTTGGTCATATTATTATTATTATTATTATTATTATTATTATTATTATTATTATTATTATTATTATTATTATTATTATTATTATTGTTATGTAGTTTAGTATACAAGGTTACACAGTTACATAATTGATTGGTTACAAAATGCGAACATTAAATGAAAACAAAAGTATATTTCTTTTTTAGAGGCTGTAGGTTTCTTTGAACTCCGACACCGGGTAGGAACCGAGGATGCTGCGGGCATTTCCCCTCTGGACCGCCACACTAAGGCGCTGGAAAAGGAAGCTCGCTGTGCTCTTGGGTCTCTTGTTATTTCGATGAGCCTGGAGCCCAGACCCTTGAGAAACCTCCTTGCACTCTCTCAAAATGCCCCAAGGGGTCTCGGATTCTATAGGAACAAAGTTGTACCGGTGATCTATCTCTCTGAACTTGCTGGAATGGTCTATTTGTGTGTGGCAACTGCTCTAACTTGACCAAGAAGGTGATGTATGTGTGTACACATACATCACCTTCTCTCTCTGTCTCTCTCTGTCTCTCTCTCTCTCTCTCTCTCTCTCTCTCTCTCTCTCTCTCTCTCTCTCTCTCTCTCTCTCTCTCTCTGTCTCTGTCTCTGTCTCTGTCTGTCTCTGTCTGTCTCTGTCTGTCTCTGTCTGTCTCTATCTGTCTCTGTCTGTCTCTCTCTCTCTCTCTCTCTCTCTCTCTCTCTCTCTCTGTCTCTGTCTCTGTCTCTGTCTCTGTCTCTGTCTCTGTCTCTCTCTCTCTCTCTCTCTCTCTCTCTCTCTCTCTCTCTCTCTGTCTCTGTCTCTGTCTCTGTCTCTGTCTCTGTCTCTGTCTCTATCTCTCTCTCTGTCTCTCTCTCTCTCTCTGTCTCTGTCTCTGTCTGTCTCTCTCTCTGTCTCTCTCTCTGTCTCTCTCTCTGTCTCTGTCTCTCTCTCTCTCTCTCTGTCTCTGTCTCTGTCTCTGTCTCTGTCTCTCTCTCTCTCTCTCTCTCTCTCTCTCTCTCTCTCTCTCTCTCTCTCTCTCTGTCTCTGTCTCTGTCTCTGTCTCTGTCTCTGTCTCTCTCTCTGTCTCTCTCTCTGTCTCTCTCTCTGTCTCTCTCTCTGTCTCTCTCTCTGTCTCTCTCTCTGTCTCTCTCTCTGTCTCTCTGTCTGTCTCTCTGTCTCTGTCTCTCTGTCTCTGTCTCTGTCTCTGTCTCTGTCTGTCTCTCTCTCTCTCTCTCTCTCTCTCTCTCTCTCTCTCTCTCTCTCTCTCTCTCTCTCTCTCTCTCTCTCTCTCTCTCTCTCTCTCTCTCTCTCTCTCTCCTTTCTCTTATCTCTCCTTTCTCTAATCTCTCTTTTCTCTCTTCTCTTTTCTCTTCTATCTCTTTTTTTATCTTTCTTTTCTCTCTCCCCCTCCCTCCCTCACACAATATCAGTATTAACACTAAAGGAACACCACACACACACACACACACACACACACACACACACACACACACACACACACACACACACACACACACACACACACACACACACACACACACACACGGGGCCATGTCCACAATGGCCACATCGTCACACATTACTCGCCAGTAAAAGATTTCAAAAAATGTATATTTTATTGAATTAATGCTTTTATTTCACAGTCCATAAATAATAACATGAATCAAATATTTACAAATTCGCCATAAAAAACATTCTACATCTCCGAACACAATAAAACACACCGTAGTTTTAGGTGTGTGTGTTTTTATCAGGTCGCTCACGGTATGTTGTTCTCCCTAGCTGGGTCAGTGTCACCTGGGTCAGTGTCACCTGGGTCAGTGTCACCTGGGTCAGTGTCACCTGGGTCAGTGTCACCTGGGTCAGTGTCACCTGGGTCAGTGTCACCTGGGTCAGTGTCACCTGGGTCAGTGTCACCTGGGTCAGTGTCACCTGGGTCAGTGTCACCTGGGTCAGTTTCACCTGGGTCAGGCAAGATCTGGAGGGTCATTTAAGCGTCCACAAGAGTTTACTAACCATCCAGTAAGTATACTGTAGCTCAGGATATTGGTCAGGGCTCAGTATGTGTATGTGATGGAGAAGCTAGGGATCACTTCACAAGTCGAGCCTGGCCTCGGGCCGGGCTTGGGGAGTAGAAGAACTCCCAGAACCCCATCAAGCAGATATCACCTCTCAAGAGTATATGTAATATACGCCCTAGAGACTGTTGTGTGTGCTCCGGCTCCTCCTGGAACCCCTCCTGGTGAGGTTAGGGGCTTGGTGTTGCCTCACATGTTGTTAGGTCATCAGTTAATTTATTCTCGGTGAAGGGCCTGGCAGCAGAGAGCCCACATCCGTGGCTGTGATTGGCTTTATCAGAGCCGCGTGTGCTCTGATATTCGTCAAACATCTGTCTGAGGTCTTTGGCTAGAATTGGTTTGATAATGATATACAGGACAGATACCCGTCAGAGGTCCTGTCAGTACTGTCTATTGACTCTATCTATCAGGTTGTGGGTCTAACAGGTTATGTGTTAAGAGTCAATTAGCAGCACCTGTAAGTCCTAAGTGAAAGGCACTGTTTCACCAAAATATACCTTATACATCTCCCGGAACCTTTGTACTTGTAATTTCAGGGACTGTTGCTTGGCCGTCAGCTGCTGCTGTCGCTTCTCCTCCGCCTCCAACAACTGCTCGACCATCTTCAAAGTCATTTTCTTATTCTCACGATAGTCCTTCGACGCCACATTGTTCAGTTTTTTTCTACGTTTTTCCTTCTCTTCGCCGTCTGGCAAATATTTTCTTGTGACTCTGTGGTGGTAACCTTTTCTAGTGGCGGGTCGCGTCCCGAGCACGGCTTCCAGGGCAGAGGAAGAGGAACGGAGAGGAGGTGTTCCTGCTGGTAGATTTGATGAATAGGGACTTTCTGTGGCCCCAGACAGAGCTCCAGCTGGATGAGCACGGTGCTCTGATTCTTGTGGGTAGACACTGTGTTGTTCCCTTGAAATATCCTCTGAAAGATACTGGCTGCATTCATCAGTCAACAAGTGAGACAGGTCGTAGAGAGCACTAGGAGGGGAAGGAGTTCGGTTCTGGGCCAGCACCTGGTTGGGATCAACCATCATCTGAAAACATCGTACAACATCAATATAAAACCAAATCATTGATTATTGAAGTGTAAGGAGTATTTTTGTGTGTGGGTACGTTTAATTATCAACAAAGTAGATCTAAGTAATTAAAAGTTAAACAGTAAAATAAGCAGTGCTGCTGTTGACAGTTTAACATAACGTTTTGAAAGCAGGTTCAACAACGCGTTACTCAAGGCTCAACTTACGAAGCACTCGCCGCTATCTTCTCGGGCTGAACACGGAACAACACGAAGTCCCACGTGATCACTGGTCTTCCTTGACGATGCTGGTCCTTCAAGTCCCAGGTGGTCCTGCGGGTCCCATCCTGAGGCTGGTCCTTCACGTCCCAGGTGGTCCTGTGGGTCCCATCCTGAGGCTGGTCCTTCACGTCCCAGGTGGTCCTGTGGGTCCCATCCTGAGGCTGGTCCTTCACGTCCCAGGTGGTCCTGTGGGTCCCATCCTGAGGCTGATAATGGTGCTTCTGGTGGTCCGTCGACACCACTGTGGCCGCTGGTGGCTCCCTCACCATCACCCAAATGGTTGGATGACATGTCTGATAATGAATCCAGATAAGCAACAACCATGTCCAAGTCAAAACTGGCGATAGCGTCCAGCCCTGAGATATAGTTTTGCTCAGCCGTCTCGGGAAGGACGGCGTTCAGGGCACTATGGATGTCCTCCATGTTGTATTGGTCATCCATGTTGTATTGGGACGCCATGGTGTATTGGGAAGCGGGTGGGCGTGGATTTGAACACTATACGCGTCACTTGCTGGAAGTCAGTAGAGTGGAACCTTTCTTGGCAGTGGAGGGGAAGAGGGTGAGCGAGCATGGCGCTTATCATGACTACCGGTGCGAGAGTGATGGAGAGAACACGCTTCCCGCCAATATATATGTGTACGCGGGCCGCCCTACAACACGAGAACAACCAGTACCGCCCGACTTACGCTCCCGCTTGCCAACCCTGACAAACGTTTGTGGCGGCCGCCGTTCTGTCCCAGACTCGTTCCTGAAGTCGAGTTCAGGTGAGGCCGTTCGTCTCCCGCGGCTGACGCAATATTCTGACACATTCATAATCCTCCATCATTGTCAATTATGTACTTCAGTGGAGAATGTGCACCCTGCACACGCTTCGTTAGCCACTTACTTTGGCCCAGTTATTAATGACCCCATACACTATCATTTAACGATTGATTGTTGCCGCCAAAGGCGGCTAGTTTATTGTGCACCCCATACTCATCCTGTGAGCGGTAGCGCAAAAGCATTACAGAGGGCACAAAAGGTCTTTATCAGACCTATGGATAAATTACCTGAAATCCTTGCACTGTACCCACATTTCGCTTCCAGTAGATGAACGACATATGAGATTCAGAAACAAGTAGTGTATTGTGAGGACTAATAATAAACAGAAGCTCCCCTATGACTCTGTAATATCCCCATTGGTCAAACTATTATGTATTAGCGATTAGACCTACCATTAATCATTTAACGACACACTACACACCCTGGACCACATTCTTACTTACACCCTATACACCCTGGGGCCAGATTATTATTTACACCCTGGATCAGACTATTACTTACACCCAACATACCCTGGACCAGATTATTATTTACATCCTAGTCACCCTGGAATAAAAATATAACTTACACCCTACACACCCTGACCAGGCTATGACTTACACCCTACACACCCTGACCAGGCTATGACTTACACCCTACACACCCTGACCAGGCTATGACTTACACCCTACACACCCTGACCAGGCTATGACTTACACCCTACACACCCTGACCAGGCTATGACTTACACCCTACACACCCTGACCAGGCTATGACTTACACCCTACACACCCTGACCAGGCTATGACTTACACCCTACACACCCTGACCAGGCTATGACTTACACCCTACACACCCTGACCAGGCTATGACTTACACCCTACACACCCTGGACCTGACAGTAATTCCTAACCATTTTTGCTTGGAGAAACGCTGAAATTTGCTAACAAACAACCAACATTTTCACTCTACATCTGGCTAACTGGTCACAAACATTGTGTATATATATATTTAGTAATGATTTTATGTTAATATATTTTTTAATAAATTTAATATAATTTACCTAGTTTTTCATCGTTTTATAAGACATTCACGACTGAAAATTACACGTTTAAAGAGAATAACATTAATTGTAATTCTCGCGGGACCCTGGTCAGTGATGACTGCTCTAAAGTAGGCAAAATTGTAATTAATTTTGTCAATAAAGATATTAATAATAATAATAATAATAATAATTATATTCCATGTTATTTCTGCAAGATCAACCTTCCGTTTAGAGCACCTCTGTCAGCGTGGCTTCTCGCCCGCGTAGACACCTTCTGGAGCTTTAATAGTTGCTTTAATTGTTATCTTTGACCATTGTTATCTTTGACCGGACTTGTGCATTAGTGCATAACATGTTGAGATCTTGTCGAGCACACCACACACTAATGTAAACGTTATCTCTAGTTGACCATTGAATGTTCCGCCAAGGTCGCTCTCAAACGTATCAGCGAGTCACAGACATGCCTCCGCCGACAATCTCTCCTAATTGTACTCATCTAATTGCGCTTGCCGGTGTTGAGCTTCGGCTCTTTACTCCCGCCTCTCAACTGTCCATCAACTGGCATACAGGTTCCTGAGCCTATTGAACTCAATCATATCTACATTTGAAACTGTGTATGGAGTCTGCCCCGACATCTCCTATGCCAGGTAAGTACGGCGGGCTCACTATAGCCCGTCCAATGCATTTCATTTATTAACTATTCGATTGGCCTAAGTATAGAGCCCCTTAACCGCCTTGAAGACCTGACATCGATATAGAGCTCTTCAGAGACCAGATTCCCGGTATAGAACCCCCCCCCCCCCCAGGGACCTGAGCCTGGTATAGAGCCACAGATGTCAGACACCGGGACACCACGAAGACCACGACACAGACGAGGAAGACCAACACACAGACGAGGAAGACCAACACACAGACGAGGGAGACCAACTCACAGACGAGGAAGACCAACACACAGACGAGGAAGACCAACTCACAGACGAGGAAGACCAACACACAGACGAGGAAGACCAACTCACAGACGAGGAAGACCAACTCACAGACGAGGAAGACCAACACACAGACGAGGGAGACCAACACACAGACGAGGAAGACCAACTCACAGACGAGGAAGACCAACACAGACGAGGAAGACCAACACACAGACGAGGAAGACCAACACACAGACGAGGAAGACCAACACACAGACGAGGAAGACCAACTCACAGACGAGGAAGACCAACACACAGACGAGGAAGACCAACACACAGACGAGGAAGACCAACACAGACGAGGAAGACCAACACAGACGAGGAAGACCAACACACAGACGAGGAAGACCAACACACACAGACGAGGAAGACCAACACACAGACGAGGAAGACCAACACACACAGACGAGGAAGACCAACACACAGACGAGGAAGACCAACACAGACGAGGAAGACCAACACAGACGAGGAAGACCAACACAGACGAGGAAGACCAACACAGACGAGGAAGACCAACACAGACGAGGAAGACCAACACAGACGAGGAAGACCAACACAGACGAGGAAGACCAACACAGACGAGGAAGACCAACACAGACGAGGAAGACCAACACAGACGAGGAAGACCAACACAGACGAGGAAGACCAACACAGACGAGGAAGACCAACACAGACGAGGAAGACCAACACAGACGAGGAAGACCAACACAGACGAGGAAGACCAACTCACAGACGAGGAAGACCAACACAGACGAGGAAGACCAACACAGACGAGGAAGACCAACACAGACGAGGAAGACCAACACAGACGAGGAAGACCAACACAGACGAGGAAGACCAACACAGACGAGGAAGACCAACTCACAGACGAGGAAGACCAACACAGACGAGGAAGACCAACACAGACGAGGAAGACCAACACAGACGAGGAAGACCAACTCACAGACGAGGAAGACCAACACAGACGAGGAAGACCTAAATATAGAAGTTTTCCTTGAAAACTCTCTAACAAACTTTCCGCTCCCGACAAGTACACAGCATTACGAGTATACCAGAGTTTACACGAGTATACCAGAGTTTACACGAGTATACCAGAGTTTACACGAGTATACCGGAGTTAGCTGGACTCTCGTCTATACGTTTCACGGGAGGAAACATTCACTATGAACGCAAGCAACGAATATTTCCGGACACGGTGTTTGATCCATCTGGATAATAACGTGTAAAGCCCTCTTAACACCAGGATTGATACGCGCTTACACTAGCCTGCTCTCTCCGTGGCTCACTCCGTAAAAAAGCAACTGTTTTCCCCCCAAAACATAAACGTACAAGCAACCCACTGCGATGCATACAGAACGTCAATATTGCGGTGTTGTAACGTTGATGGATTGGTTGAGTTGGCTGCAAGTGTGAGACCTAGGGTGAGACCTAGGGTGAGGGGATAGGGTGAGAGGGGGTCCTGGGCCAGCGGGTTTGGTCTCTCGCAGTCATACTGGGACTTGTGATGACCCCCTTGGGGGAGGCTCTTAGGGTGAGAGTCTCACCTTGGGGCTCCATGTTCATTGTTGACGCTGCTGTCTGGTCCAGGGTGTGAACCACAGTCTGGTCCAGGGTGTGTAGGGTGTGAACCACAGTCTGGTCCAGGGTGTGAACCACAGTCTGGTCCAGGGTGTGAACCACAGTCTGGTCCAAGGTGTGAACCACAGTCTGGTCCAGGGTGTGTAGGGTGTGAACCACAGTCTGGTCCAGGGTGTGTAGGGTGTGAACCACAGTCTGGTCCAGGGTGTGAACCACAGTCTGGTCCAGGGTGTGAACCACAGTCTGGTCAAGGGTGTGTGTAGTGTCTCATAGTCTGGTCCAGGGTGTGAACCACAGTCTGGTCCAGGGTGTGTGTAGTGTCTCATAGTCTGGTCCAGGGTGTGAACCACAGTCTGGTCCAGGGTGTGAACCACAGTCTGGTCCAGGGTGTGAACCACAGTCTGGTCCAGGGTGTGAACCACAGTCTGGTTCAGGGTGTGAACCACAGTCTGGTCCAGGGTGTGTAGGGTGTGAACCACAGTCTGGTCCAGGGTGTGAACCACAGTCTGGTCCAGGGTGTGAACCACAGTCTGGTCCAGGGTGTAAACCACAGTCTGGTCCAGTGTGTGAACCACAGTCTGGTCCAGGGTGTGAACCACAGTCTGGTCCAGGGTGTGAACCACAGTCTGGTCCAGTGTGTGAACCAGTCTGGTCCAGGGTGTGAACCACAGTCTGGTCCAGGGTATGAACCACAGTCTGGTCCAGGGTGTGAACCACAGTCTGGTCCAGGGTGTGAACCACAGTCTGGTCCAGGGTGTGAACCACAGTCTGGTCCAGGGTGTGAACCACAGTGGTCCAGGGTGTGAACCACAGTCTGGTCCAGGGTGTGAACCACAGTCTGGTCCAGGGTGTGAACCACAGTCTGGTCCAGGGTGTGAACCACAGTCTGGTCCAGGGTGTGAACCACAGTCTGGTCCAGGGTGTGAACCACAGTCTGGTCCAGGGTGTGTAGGGTGTGAACCACAGTCTGGTCCAGGGTGTGTAGGGTGTGAACCACAGTCTGGTCCAGGGTGTGAACCACAGTCTGGTCCAGGGTGTTTAGGGTGTGTCATAGTCTGGTCCAGGGTGTGTCAGTCTGGTCCAGGGTGTGTAGGGTGTGTCAGTCTGGTCCAGGGTGTGTAGGGTGTGTCATAGTCTGGTCCAGGGTGTGTAGGGTGTGTCATAGTCTGGTCTAGGGTGTGTAGGGTGTGTCACAGTCTGGTCCAGGGTGTGTAGGGTGTGTCATAGTCTAGTTCAGGGTACAAGGTGTATCACTTAAAATTACAGAACAAATCTACCATAAAAAATTGCTATTAAAAAAAAGGCTGAACACAACATAGCATTGTGATGAGTGTTGCGTCAGCCACTTGAGCGGCCGCACGTGAACACAACTTGAGGCTGGAGTCGTGGTGAGAACGCCCATAACAAACGTTTCTCACGTGGAGCGGAACCTGGACTGTGGTAGAGTACTTGTTGATCCCGTGTTGCTTTATTCAGTATATATAGTAACGTCACAGGCCAGGCATAGTCATCATCTTAGCATTCACAATGAAGAGAGGTTCCACGCCACTGCCTTCCAGCAAGGGCCGCGTCTCTCGTTCAAATCAACGTCCACTACCAGCGTCCCAGTACGCCATGGCGTCCCAGTACAACATGGAGGACATCCGTAGTGCCCTGAACGCCATCTGTCCAGGCTCAGCCTCGGGTCTGGACGCTAACAGCAGCTTCGACCTGAACCTCTACCTGGAGACACTGCCAGATATACCACTATTTTGTGATGGTGAGGGAGCCGCCGGCGGTGTCAACGGACCACCAGAAGCGGCATCAGCGTCTGGATACAGCGCCCAGAGCCACCTGCCACTTGAAGGATCAGCGTTTGGATACAACACCCAGAGCCACCTGCCACTTGAAGGATCAGCGTCTGGATACAACACCCAGAGCCACCTGCCACTTGAAGGATCAGCGTTTGGATATAACCAGCACAGCCAACTGGAACTTGAAGGATCAGGACGGAGTTGGGACAGACAGAGCCACCTGGCAGTTGAAGGATCAGCGTTTGGATATAACCAGTACAGCCACCTGCCACTTGAAGGATCAGAGTTTGGATATAACCAGTACAGCCACCTGCCACTTGAAGGATCAGTACCGAGCTGGGAGAGACAGAGCCAGCTGGTGCCTGAAGGCTCAGCGTCAGGATGGGGCGCCAGTAGCCACCTGGGACTGGGGGAAGCTCCGTCACCCACCTGGCAACACAACGACTATCTCGTAAGTTTATTATTTTGTCGAAAATTTGATTTTACAGAAAACTTTATATTTTTCTGACTTGATAATTAACTCCACCCGACCTTTCGCTGATACTTCTCGTTTAGATAAAAAATTACTCATTTGGTATCTTAGTTGTATATTATATGTAACATATATGAGCTTGTGAACTAATTAGTTGTTAGTGTCATGTTGTATAATGACTTACTGTGCCTTCAGAGGATGGTTGACCCCAACGAGGTGTTGAGAACCCCAGCCACGGAGGACCACCAGCTGAGCCAGGGACCCCAACTCCTGCCTCACGACCCAACTGCTCTCCACTATCCCTCAACAACTCTCAACAGCTTTACTGACTCCTCTGAATGTTGTTTATTTCCACAAGATGATATGTCAAGGGAACAACACAGTGTCTACCCACAAGAGTCAGAGCACAGTGCTTATTCACCTGGAGCTCTGTCTGGGGCCACAGAAAGCCCCTATTCATCAAATCTCCCAGCAGGAACACCTCTCCGTTCCTCTTCCTCTGCCCTGGAAGCCGTCCTCGGGGCGCGACCCGCCACTAGAAAAGGTTACCACCACAGAGTCACAAGAAAGTTTTTGCCAGACGGCGAAGAGAAGGAAAGACGTAAACAAGATCTGAACAATGTGGCGTCGAAGGACTATCGTGAGAATAAGAAAATAGCTTTTAAGATGTTAGAGCAGTTATTGGAGGCGGAGGAGACGCGACAGCAGCAGCTGACGGCCAAGCAGCAGTCCCTGAAATTACAAGTCCAAAAGTTCCGGGAGATGTATGAGGAACAGCGTAGTAAGCAGATGCCTCACACTCACAATTTGCCAAACCCATATCCAAATACTTAGCATATGTATAAGAGGCCATGTTTAAAGCCAATGCTTGGTACACTGTGCCTGAAAAGCCCACTATCTGAAGCAGGAGCCACTGCCTGAAGCAGCAGCCACTGCCTGAAACAGGAGCCACTGCCTGAAGCAACAACCACTGCCTGAAGCAGGAGCCACTGCCTGAAACAGGAGCCACTGCCTGAAGCAACAGCCACTGCCTGAAGCAGGAGCCACTGCCTGAAACAGGAGCCACTGCCTGAAACAGGAGCCACTGCCTGAAGCAACAGCCACTGCCTGAAGCAGGAGCCACTGCCTGAAACAGGAGCCACTGCCTGAAGCAACAGCCACTGCCTGAAGCAGGAACCACTGCCTGAAGCAGGAGCCACTGCCTGAAGCAACAGCCACTGCCTGAAGCAGGAGCCACTGCCTGAAGCAACAACCACTGCCTGAAGCAGGAGCCACTGCCTGAAGCAGGAACCACTGCCTGAAGCAGGAGCCACTGCCTGAAGCAACAGCCACTGCCTGAAGCAGGAGCCACTGCCTGAAGCAACAACCACTGCCTGAAGCAGGAGCCACTGCCTGAAGCAACAACCACTGCCTGAAGCAACAGCCACTGCCTGAAGCAGGAGCCACATTCTGCAGGAACTCCTACCTGATGGAGGAGCCACTACCTCACAATGCCTAAAATAGACTTTACCTTTTATGTAACGAGCGGTTCCAAGCGGCCCTGCCCCCCCCCCCCCTCCCCTAATGCCAAGCAACTTCCATTGCCCACAACAAGTACTCTTATGTATGCATATAAAATATTTGAGATATCTAATAGAGATATGAGCAAGTCGTTTGTCTATGTCAATGTTCTACAATAAATAATTTATTATATTTAATGCTGGAATTAATTTCACTCATTAATGAGCCAATGACTAAGATCCATGACGTATTAATCGCTGGCAGAAAATCACAAGGTGAACTCCGTGCTATAAAGTTGAAAATATGAACTATTTTGGGTTTTCCTTGATAATTCCTTCCTTCCTTGGCTATTCCAAATTACAAAATATTAAAATTATGGTTAGCCGTGATCCTCCTGTTATTCCACACAGGAGTGAAGATGGATCTACACGGGCGCCATCCACCCCTCAAATTGGGGAGGTTTATAGGGTGTTTTGTGCAACCTGTCCTCTTAAAAAGAACGTCGCTTTTGGCCGTTTGCCGGTATGGCCGAATAAGGACGTAATTTGAAAATGAAAAAAAATGAAAATAAATTTGGGATTTTTTTTTCAACAACAGTAAGTTAAGGGTCCTCTGATAGGTTAGGTGTTCAGGAAGTTCTCATAAAGTTTCAAAACGGTATGAAAAACGTTAATGGAAAGTTGCCTCTTTTAAGCTTGCCGAGTAAGCCGGACGACTCAAACAGAAAACGGAACAGCACGTCACTTTTGTGAGTCGATTTCATTTCAAATTACGTCCAAATTTGGCCATAGTGCGCATACGAGCCAAAAGTGACGTTATTTTTAAGAGGACGGGTAACAACCTGTTGCCACTGTAATTCCCTTACCCATTGACTTATCTCCTTTATGCCGTATAATTCACATATACGCTAATGTGGGCGAGATCATTTAAATTTGTCAACAGAGACATGAGTGTCTAGGATTTTGCTGGAGTTACCTATCTTTGTAGACGATGATGCCTCGTTCACACAAGGATCCAGCCGTTGGACTCTATTTTCCGTACTCAGTAGTCTCTTTACCGGAGCTTGCTGGCCACGAGCCAGGTAATGGTACCAGAGATACGTGGGTCTTGGTTAACTAGAGCATTCACTCGACCGTCTCTCTAGCTGCTGTCAGCCTCGACCGTCTCTCCCGCTACAGTCAGCCTCGACCGTCTCTCCCGCTACAGTCAGCCTCGACCGTCTCTCCCGCTACAGTCAGCCTCGACCGTCTCTCCCGCTACAGTCAGCCTCGACCGTCTCTCCCGCTACAGTCAGCCTCGACCGTCTCTCCCGCTACAGTCAGCCTCGACCGTCTCTCCCGCTACAGTCAGCCTCGACCGTCTCTCCCGCTACAGTCAGCCTCGACCGTCTCTCCAGCTACAGTCAGCCTCGACCGTCTCTCGAGCGATATTTATATCTGTGCCGTCACCCGGGACGTGTCCTGATGTCTGAAACACCAACACAAACTATTCCACTATTCCCGTCTTCCTTACCAAGGAGGGCAGCTCTCACCTCTCCTGTGTAACTGTCCTAACTGTCCTGTCCCGACCTCTCGTGTAACTGTCATCTTAATGACATCTTTCCAGAGGATAACTTCAGTTTATTTGTGTTATATTGATGTGTGTGTGAAGACGCATATTCAGTCTCGTATGTATCACGTGGGAGGGTGAGACCATCACGTGGGAGGGGTGAGGCCTTATATAATCTACTACCCAATTTCCGAGGGAACACCAAATGTTGGACCAGGACCACCACTTCTTGAACCATTATGTATAGTCTTTACAACAACAACAAAAAGATGCACCCAGTCTACTTCACGAGATGGGTATTGGGTGCATAATAAATGAACAAATAAAAATAACCATTTTGCTTCCCTAAAATTTAATTAGTGTGTTAAAGGAACGCTTCTTAACCACTCATTGTAACAGTTCTCAAGAACATAATGTATGGAGCAAAAGAAAAACCCGATATATTCCCGTGATGGGAAGTTTCTGGGGCGGATGCTGCTAAATATCTTTGACATAATAGAGATAAGATTTAAATCTAACAGTGTGTTTCAATAATAGGATTAAGGAAACACTCTTAACAAGACCAATTAGTAACTAAGAATGCTCTGGAAATTGTTGAGGATAATAAATGCTAAGTATTTAGGTGATTGTATTATCTTAAATATTACCTTAAACGTTAATAACAATATTCTACATGAGACTGGACTGGTTAAGAGTAAGGAAACACCTTAACAAAATATAGGGCTATGTTAATAAATAATCAAATATATTATATTTCAGCCTCTTCTGTGACAATTAAAAATTACCATAAAAGTATTTCCTAAGGCAAATTCTTCCGTCACTTCAACCCCGTCCGCAGGTTGTTCACTGTTGTTCACTGTTGTTCACGGTTGTTCACGGGCTGTTCTCTTATACTTGTTCCAGCAGCAGGTATGAAGAACGGCTTAAGTAGGCGAATGAAATAAATAAATACTTAAGTCTAGATAGGTCCCAGTACCATCCTTCTGGAGCGGGTACTCCGCCAGGGCGGGTACCTGCTCATAGCAAGGTACCAGGAACTAGGGGCCAGATTCTCGAAGCAGTTACGCAAGCACTTACGAACCTGTACAACTTTTCTCAATCTTTGGCGGCTTTGTTTACAATTATTAAACAGTTAATGAGCTCCGAAGCACCAGGCGGCTGTTTATGACAATAACAGCAGTTGATTGGGAAGATTTCATGCTTGCAAACTGTATAGTAAATGTAACTAAAGCCGTCATAAATTGAGTTAAGATGTACACGTTCGTAAGTACTTGCGTAACTGTTTTCGTGAATCTGGCCCAAGAAGGCCAAAAATATGCTATTCACTGCAGTTTAAAAATGATAATCTGCCACATTATGAGTAATTAGCTCTAAAAAACATTGTCACTGGCAGGGGGCGGGACACTGCTGTCACTGTACGTCAGCCCAACGCTGACGTAACTGACAGCAGTGTGGAGAGTTATCGGGTGTCAGTAACAAGACAGCCACCTTACAAGTTGAACTGTTGGCTCAAAATGCAACACTACAATAGACAGCTCAATTATTTCCGACTCTCCAAATAGTTTGCGATCAAAAAAGGTGTGTGTGCTTATCTGTGACGCCAGATATTGATGCATCTACATCAATATGATACAATTCTACATCAGATGTGGATGCATCTACATCTACAGATACTGATGCATCTCTCTCCCTCAAGTACTGAGAACCAGTGTCTCCTTCAGGTACTGTAGCGACTTCAACAGGTGTTAAATATTATATTCAGGCACCTGTAAGTAGGGTGTGTCAGGCACCTGTTCACTAAAATGTGCCTTGCACATCTCCCTACACCAGTGGTGGTGGTCCTTGAGGACCTGATACTTGAGTGTCAGTTGCTGCTGTCGCTTCAGCTGCTCCTCCAGCAACTTCTGCATCTTCTTTTCAGTCATTTTCTTATTCTCACGATAGTCCTTCGACGCCACATTGTTCAGATCTTGTTTACGTCTTTCCTTCTCTTCGCCGTCTGGCAAATACTTTCTTGTGACTCTGTGGTGGTAACCTTTTCTAGTGGCGGTTCGCGCCCCGAGGACGGCTTCCAGGGCAGAGGAAGAGGAACGGAGAGGAGGTGTTCCTGCTGGGAGATTTGATGAATAGGGACTTGCTGTGGCCCCAGACAGAGTTCCAGGTGAATAAGTACTGTGCTCTGACTCTTGTGGGTAGACACTGTGTTGTTCCCTTGACATATCATCTTGTGAAAATAAACAACATTCAGAGGAGTCAGTAAAGCTGTTGAGAGTTGTTGAGGGATAGTGGAGAGCAGTTGGGTCGTGAGGCAGGAGTTGGGGTCCCTGGCTCAGCTGGTGGTCCTCCGTGGCTGGGGTTCTCAACACCTCGTTGGGGTCAACCATCCTCTGAAGGCACAGTAAGTCATTATACAACATGACACTAACAACTAATTAGTTCACAAGCTCATATATGTTACATATAATATACAACTAAGATACCAAATGAGTAATTTTTTATCTAAACGAGAAGTATCAGATAAAGGTCGGGTGGAGTTAATTAATTATCAAGTAAGAAAAATGTTAAATTTTCTGTAAAATCAAATTTTCGACAAAATAATAAACTTACGAGATAGTCGTTGTGTTGCCAGGTGGGTGACGGAGCTTCCCCCAGTCCCAGGTGGCTACTGGCGCCCCATCCTGACGCTGAGCCTTCAGGCACCAGCTGGCTCTGTCTCTCCCAGCTCGGTACTGATCCTTCAAGTGGCAGGTGGCTGTACTGGTTATATCCAAACTCCGATCCTTCAAGTGGCAGGTGGCTCTGGGCGCTGTATCCAGACGCTGATGCTTCTGGTGGTCCGTTGACACCGCCGGCGGCTCCCTCACCATCACAAAATAGTGGTATATCTGGCAGTGTCTCCAGGTAGAGGTTCAGGTCGAAGCTGCTGTTAGCGTCCAGACCCGAGGCTGAGCCTGGACAGATGGCGTTCAGGGCACTACGGATGTCCTCCATGTTGTACTGGGACGCCATGTTGTATTGGTCATCCATGTTGTATTGGGACGCCATGGTGTATTGGGACGCGGGTGGGCGTGGATTTGAACAATATACGCGTCACTTGCTGGAAGTCAGTAGAGTGGAACCTTTCTTGGCAGTGGAGGGGAAGAGGGTGAGCGAGCATGGCGCTTATCATGACTACCGGTGCGAGAGTGATGGAGAGAACACGCTTCCCGCCAATATATATGTGTACGCGGGCCGCCCTACAACACGAGAACAACCAGTACCGCCCGACTTACGCTCCCGCTTGCCAACCCTGACAAACGTTTGTGGCGGCCGCCGTTCTGTCCCAGACTCGTTCCTGAAGTCGAGTTCAGGTGAGGCCGTTCGTCTCCCGCGGCTGACGCAATATTCTCACACATTCATAATCTTCCATCAATGTCAACTCTTTCAGGGCTTGGCCTGCGTCACGCTAGGGGTTCGGGGCGTGGACCGCGTCACCCGGGGGTCTGCGTAGACACCTGCTGGCGCTGTAACCAGCTCTTCCTGAATTTGTTATCTTCGAACAGACTCGTGCATTAGTGCATAACATGTTGCGCTCTTGTTGAGCGCCACGAACATTAATGTAAACGTTATCTCCAGTTGACCATCGAGTGTTCCGGCAAGGTCGTGCTCAAACGTATCAGCAAGTCATAGACATGCCTCCGTCGACAACCTGTTGGGGTCCTGAAGCTGGGCCAACAACGTATACTTCAGTGTCTGCCTCGTCTCTGATCCGGTGTTTTACGTTATATTCTGAACACAAGTACCAGTTTTGTGGACCCTACTCTTTGAAGGTCTACTCAAGCGCTCGCCCACACTGAACCGTCCTCTCCACTTAACGTTATATTCATTCTCGGATCCGCATTATTTGTGTTTCATTTTATGCTTCTAATTCAGAATTGATTCATTTTATAATTGATCAGATCGGTTTTATTACCATAAATTAGTATTGCTTGTACAAATATCAAATGAGTTAAGCCTTTTCATTAAAATTGATATTTACAACCTTTTCTTATTTTAATACACATGTTTTAAGAATTAGTCCTCTCTATATTCATGAACCTGTCAACGTACTTTTGACACTTGTTATAACAGGTACACATAATATACCCGCCACCCCTAGTTAAGATAGTATACTCTGAATGTAACCATCCTGCAAGATGGGACATTCATCATCACAGCCTATAGTAGCTCTGAGAAACAACTCCGTTACAGTGAGAGTAGCCTCGTAAGTGAGAGTACCCGTAGTCAGACTCGACCAATGTTGTGAATCCAGCAGACTTTTTTTTTTTTTAGAGAGAGATTGATTGATAGAGATTTTTTTTAGAGAGATTGAGAGCTTTATAGATAGTGACCCAATTTATTATCAAAGGCACCAAACCGGGAAGGCTATACAGCACCATAAATGTGCGAGATAATCAGAGAGCGCTAAATATCACCAAGGATGCCAACACGAGAACAGAAACGCATAAAGCGAACGATATCAAAAGTATCCGAGATAGTGACCCAAGTGTTTATAATGTATGAATGAAGCATCGATAAGAGATGGTATACGAGTCACGTCAAACAGACCTACACTACAGTGGAAACTGTGCAACCCTTTCAACCACTAAGCAAGTGATCGTTTACCTAGCTTCCAAACCCGGTTTATCGATGAAAATTTCACAATAACCAATGAATTTCTATAAGACGATATTATTGCATACTAGATTGTTATATAGTTAGGTGTAGGTAGTTAGGTTCTCTTTGCAGTTATTCAACCCACCTTCATCAACAAGGGCCAAATGATTAATTCGGCCAACCCCCCCCCCCCCCAAGTTTATGAATGAAAATATGTTTACACAAGACAACTGATGAAGTTTCAACATTCCTCGAACAGTGCTTCACTGACGTCGTCTGCTCAAATGACTAGTCTGAAAACAGCCTCCAACACGTCCTCGACTCCTAGTCTTACATCCCAGCCCGTCCTCCGAACGAAGACCCAAGAGCGATTCCGTGCACCTTCCAAATCCCCTGTTCACGAATTGAAAACTTTACACACGACTACTGATTTCGTTCACACACTTCCGGAACAAAGTACTTCACTGACGAATTTTGTTCGAACCACAACGCTGTAAATGCTTCACCCACGTACTACAAATAATCGCCAACAGAACCTAAACACCTAACCTATATATATGCACAATATGCTATTATAATATTTATATTTGAGAATTCCGTTTTGAATGAACAGCATGTAAAAATTTATGAATGCGCCTGTCGGGTCAACCGCTGGATGTAATGAACTTTAGTCGAGGACGGGTTGCACAGGGTCTACGTTCGATTCCCAGAGGTGTTGGGTACCGTTACTTCACTCCCTCGTGACCCAGCTCCTTAATTGTCGTCCTGTGAGTTCCAGAGTGTTATAGACTTTATGCCCGAATGCTTTCTGTAGATAATTACTTTTAACCATCATTGTTATAAGTACAAGTAGTTAAACAGTCTGGAAGATCAGACGTACCACAGAGCATCCACCACGGTATAGGGTCACAAAAACTTAGGACATTGAATAAAATTTAATTTCGTAAATAATAAAATCGCAGAAGCGAGTTTGAGAAGTCAACGTTTAAACTAAAAAAACAAGTGTTAAAAATCCATAAGAAAAATTTCGCTCAATTATTTACATGGAAATTCACCTATTACGTCAAGGGCGAATTAAAATGAGCTAAAATTACAGTGGAACAATGAAACTATAGCCGTAGTGAATACTAGGCTAGGTCACCATATTAAACTGGTTGTACTAACCTTGCGGCAAATACTAACCTAGCTCCATGCAAGTTAAAAAAATAAGCCAGCATTGTACATCCATTTGGTAATCTTTCAGTCAAACGGATTATTTAAAATTTTCCTGCACCACCTGAAGTGTTTCCAGATGTCTGGCATGTCAGGTCGCCCAAGAGGATGAGTCACCTCCGGCATGGGCCGCCTCAATGAATCCTTCATTAATTTATCCAGAACTCTGGGATCATTATCGACAGAGTTATCCTCTACTGGCACTTCATAGCTCCACCCTCGTTGACGCTTTGTTATGTTGTTCACGGGCGATCGTTTTCTGGACACTTTCTCTTTCCTTGGGTTTATGCGCGGGTCAGGGAAATTAGCTTCCAATTGAGCTGTTGAACCATGCCGAGCATATTGCTCATCTAAGAATTCGTAATAGAATGAGCAGCTGCGCCTTCGCCGGGGGCGACTTCTGTCGGTAAAAACGCCCAAGTTAGACATCGACCGTACCGTCTCTTCGTCGAACTCGAAGTCCATAATAGCCATCATTATATCATCGTTCCTAGTTATACTGTGGGAGTCTGTGAACGTTATCGGCCTATCACCGGGCCATGTTACACCGCTGGAGTTCGTGGACGACGTCGGCCTATCACTGGGCCGTGTTACACCGCTGGAGTTCGTGGACGACGTCGGCCTATCACTGGGCCCTGTTACACCGCTGGAGTTCGTGGACGACGTCGGCCTATCACCGGGCCATGTTATAGCGTTGAAGTTCGTGGACGACATCTGCCTATCACTGGGCCATGTTCTAGCGTTGGAGTTCCTGGACGACGTCGGCTTATCACTGGGCCATGTTATAGCGTTGGAGTTCGTGGACGACGTCGGCCTATCACCGGGCCATGTTATAGCGTTGGAGTTCGTGGACGACGTCGGCCTATCACTGGGCCATGTTATAGCGTTGGAGTTCGTGGACGACGTCGGCCTATCACCGGGCCATGTTATAGCGTTGGAGTTCGTGGACGACGTCGGCCTATCACCGGGCCGTGGTATAGCGTTGAAGTCCATGGACAACATCTGGCCGTCTTCTGACCACCACATGTCATCGCCAACTTGGGAGCCCGTAGCAGGCATCAGCCTCTCGTTGAACCACGCCATCTGAAAATAACATACCAAACCAGTTAACAATATTCACATACGGACTTCATCCTGCCCACTTTAAAATTTCTAAAAGCAATTTAACCTTGGTATATAATTTATGAATTTGAAGCCTTTACTAATTTTGTATCTTTCATATATCAAATGAATGTTCCGATTACGCAACGTTCATATTAAAGAGAACCCCAAATCAGAAAAACTATATCTACGATACAGTTAGGTATCAATGCAAATTAGTTTGTAATCCGTTTATTAAAACAATAATAACTCAAGATTGAACTTTTGAATTAGTCCAGTTTTCTACAAAAATAACCACAACTTAGCGGCGATAAACATGTTTCAGCGACTTGATGCCTATATTTAATAATACTAAGACTTCCGTGTGCGATTTATTGTAGAATTTTATTGTGTATAAATTAACGTATTTCTTTGAGTCCATCCGACAGACTTTAAACCGAGTCTCTTCACATTTACCCGCAGCACGGTCACGGGTCTCCGTACACTCTAGTATGTTGTTGTTATAGATTAAGCTACTCTGAACAAGTTCCAAGTAGCACGGGCTATGGTGAACCTGTAGTGAACTTACCTAGCACAGGAGCGGTGCACTCTAGTAAACAGCGAGGTGTATTTATAGTTAACCGCAAAGTCCGCAGGTATGACCACCGCAAGTGACCTCCCACTACTGACCTCCCCCGCCCCGCTCCTGTGCCAGGTAAGTTACGGGCTCATCATAGCCCGTGCTACTTGGAACCTGTTCCCTGTAACCGCTGAGGCACCGCAGTGGTGCGCCAAGTATGAGGTAGTGAGGCTGTTAACACTAGTCAACCTGCCACTTAACCAGTTAATATATCTGCGCTACGCTAAGTCCACTACGGGCTCACCATAGCCCGTGCTACTTGGAACTATTTGTTCTAAGTAAAAATGCGTTCAAATCGAATTAAAAATATTTATTTGATCTATAAAGAGGGTGTCATTAAATATTCCCCAATTGCATTTTCAGCATATATTTAACACTAGGCATTAATTGCGATTCGAACCGACTCGTCGGGCCGATCCGTCCTCAGACAAAGTTCATTCCATCCAGCGGTCGACCCCAAAGACACATTCATCAATTTTAACATGCTGTTCATTTAAAATAGGGATTTTCTCAAGTTAATATTATAATACCATATTGCACATATAGGGATATGTTAGGTGTTTAGGTTCTGCTGGCGATTATTTGTATTTGTAGTACGTACATTTACAGCGTTGTGGTTCGAAGAAAATTCGTCAGTGAAGCACTTGTTCCGGAAGTGTTCGGACGTCATCAGTTGTGTGTCGTGTGTAAACCGTTTTCCATTCATAAACAGGGGGGTTTGGTGGATGGATGGAATGGACTTTGGCCTTTGTTTATGAGGACGGGCTGCAGAATTCAACCTCACTGGATCGCCGAGTCATTTCGTTCTTAAGACCACTTTTATTGAGCCCATCTCGATCTATAAGTGGCTAAATGTTCGTCAGTCCAGTCTCAAAAACCCATTTGTGCAACCCGCAGCCCGTCCTCTAAACAAAGATCCAAGAGTGACTCCATGCACCCGCCACACCCCCTGTTTATGAATGAACAACAGTTTACACACGACTCACAACTGAAGACGTTCTAACACTTCCGGAACAAGTGCTTCACTGACAGATTTTGTTCGAACCACAACGCTGTAAATGCTTCAACCACGTACTTCAAATATAAATAATCGTCAACAGAACCTAAATACCTAACCTATGTCCATATATGCACAATATGCTAATATAATATAATATTAATTTATATTTGAGAACATTCCCGTTTTGAATGAACAACATGTAAAAATTTATGAATGCGTCTGTGGGGTCGATCGCTGAATGGAATGGACTTGAGTCATGGACGGGTTGACAACCCGTCCTCAAGCTGTGCTCGTCCATACTGCACCCGGCCCCCAAAGACGCATTCGTCAATTTGAATGTACCGTGAATTCAAAATTTGGATTGTCTTATATATAAATTAATATTACATAGTGTATTATTAAACCTAAATTGGATTAAGTTATGTGTTTAGGTTCTTTTGGTAATTATTTTGTATTTGTACCCTGCAAACACAACGTAAAGGTCCATATGATTCCCTTGTGACAACTTTATTACAAGTTGTTACATCTTGTTATAATGCTTTTATGAGGCATTAGAACGTTGTTACAACGTGCTATATTGGTTGTTACAAATGTTAGGTGATAAACCTTGTTCAAACGTTGTAGCAACGCCGTAAAATCGTCGTGTGTTTGGAGGGTAGTAAGTGGATGAAGAAATAACAATTAACAACCCATCCTCGACTCAAGTCCATTACATTCAGCGGTCAACCCCACAGACGCATTCATAAATTTTAACATGCTGTTCATTCAAAACGGGAATTTTCTAAAGTATAAATTAATATTATAATATATTAACATATTGTGTATGAATAGGCATAGCATAGGTTAGGTCAGGTGTTTAGGTTCTGTTGGCGATTATTTGTATTTGTAGTACGTGGGTGAAGCATTTACAGCGTTGTGGTTCGAACGAAATTCGTCAGTGAAGCACTTGTTCCGGATATGTTCGAACGTCAGCAGTTGTGAGTCGTGTGTAAACCGCTTTTCATTCATAAACAGGGGGTTTGGCGGGTGCATGGAATCACTTTTGGATCTTTGTTTGGAGGACGGGCTGCAATTAACTGAGGTGCGATTCGAACAGAGGTCGACACCAAATCACTGTTCGAACGCCATCTGTTGTGAGTCGTGTGTGTGTAAAGTGTTTTTCATTTATAAACAGTGAAATTTGCATCTGGACTAACGAGCAATTTGCTTTTGTTTATGACGAAGGAACAAAGATAGAGGTAACTAGGTATATAGAGGTGACCAGGTAGTCTAGTTCATTTATTATGCAGCTCACAGCCATCCTGTGGGCGGTAGTACAAAATATTACAAAGGCACATAAAGGACTTAGGGGAATAAACCCCAAAATTCGATTAGCTTTAAAAGTTACAGCACTGATGAGCTACTTAGAAGGTTTGTTAACGTATATAAAAACAACCTTAAAGTATCTTTACATTTTGTCAAGCTAACATAACCGTGACCTCAATGGGTTCTAAACATATTGAGATTGTGGTAATAGAACAAGTCACAGGTTATGTACACCTGGGAGGATTAGTCACATATAGACACTAACTGGGTATAATGGGTTGTTGGGGGAAGAGATTGGGTGCTATGTGCTGCAATGTTGTCATTTGTGTACTATTTTCCTGTGTTTGTAATTATTGAAATTGAAATAAGTTTATTGAGGTAAAATACACACAAAGGGATGAGGTAGCTCAAGCTATTCTCACCCCGTTCAGTACATCGTGTTAATACATACATATACACACATCACAAACAATAAACATATTACCAAACATAATATGTAATTATTAACATGTAATTATTATTAACATGTAATTATTATTAACATGTAATTATTGTGTTTGTCATTGTTATTGTTGTTTTTGTTGTCGGCCCTTCAGGCCGTGTTTTGTACTTAGACCTTTTGTTATTTTGTGTTTGTAATTGTGTGCTCTACTTGTTTTGTTCGTTTGTTATCTGTTTTGTTTTAGATTTAGCTACTCAGAACGAAGTGTCTATGTAGCACGGGCTATGGTGAGCCCGTAATAGTGAGCCAAGTAAACTGCTGGGGAACGTATATATGGCGGCTGTAAAGTGTGGCCCTGGCCAGGGGAGGCTTTTAAGTGTGCTCCTGGCCAGGGGGGGGGGGTCTTAAGTGTGGTCCTGACCAGGGGAGGCTCTTAAGTGTGGTCCTGACCAGGGGAGCCTCTTAAGTGTGGTCCTGGCCAGGGGAGGCTCTTAAGTGTGGCCCTGGCCAGGGGAGCCTCTTAAGTGTGGCCCCTGGCCAGCTCGGTAGAGTGATAGTGTGGCCTTGAGTAGTGGCCGAGGGCAGACCAACGGTCTGGTCTCTGAGACCACTCTTAAATCCTCTGGGCCCCAAGAGTTAAGTTAGAGCCCTTAAGGGCAGGTCTTCTGGTAGCCATAGGTGCCAGCGCGGAGACCATTACCCTAACGGCCTGACGGCTTAGTGGACAGCGCTAGGGATTCGTAATCCTAAGGTTCCGGGTTCGATCCCCGGCGGAGGCGGAAACAAATGGGCAGTTTCTTTCAACCTGATGCACCTGTTCACCTACCAGTAAACAGGTACCTGGAAGTTAGACAACTGGTTCCTGGGGGTGTGTAACAAAAAGGAGGTCTGGTCGAGGACCGGGCCACGGGGACGCTAAGCCCCGAAATCATCTCAAGATCAGCATAGCGGGTCCTAGGGATATTATTATTAATATATTTATTTACAACAAATTAATTACAATTTTGCCTATAACAGTGTACATATAACAGATCATGACTGAACATATAACAGTTTCCGTAGGTTGTACAGGTATATCAGGGATAAGTTTATGCATAAGTATATACAAGAGCATAGGGCTTAGGACACCACCTTGAGGTGTACCTAGTTCGAATGTCTCTGTTCTTGTACTTTTAACTCCTTTAAATAGGACAGTAACACCGCTGTTGGCTAGGTAGCTCTTTATCCAACTCACAAGATTACCTTTGATTCCAAATTCAGCAAGTTGCTCGAATATTATTTCGTCATTTGCTACATCGAAACCTGACTTTAGGTCAATAAAGGCTGCTTGTGTCCCATCCTGGGAGTGTACAAAATATTCAGCAAAGCATGTTTGTGTGCTACACTTGGGCATAAACCCATATAGGCTAGGAGACAACTTTTCTTCGACCTGAAACATAGCACGATTGAGAACAATTTTCTCCAAGACTTTACACATGCAAGATGTATGGGAAATGGGTCTGATTTTGTTATAGTTAGGTTTAGGAATTGGTACTATGAGACTTAGTGTCCATTTCTTTGGCAAGATACCTTGTGAGAGGCTCATTTGATAGAGGTCAAGCAGAGGGTGGCTAGGGACATCATTCAGTAATCTCAAGGTGTTATAAGTTATACCATCCTCACCAGGGGCAGTTTGCTTAGGTTTCCCTAATGCTGATGTTAATTCAAAATAAGTTATAACAAACTGATCCGTTAAATCTGGTGAGGAACGTGCTGTTTCAATATTAAAGTTTCTGTTAATATTGGTATTATTTATATGCTGCTGAATATCTGGGGGTAAGGAAGACATTTGTGAGACACTAGACCATTGAGCTAGGAGCATGTCAGCATATTCTGCAGGAGTATGATGAAGCTGGACTGGGGCTGAAGGTTTGGTAATGTTTTTAATTTTGTTCCACATTTCCGACAATGTTGTAGTTCTATTGATACCTTGTAGGAATTGTTCCCAACATGTGTCCTTAACTTGACCCTTAAGCTCGTGAAAATCTCTGTTGGCATTGAGGAATGCAAGTAAATTGTCAGCTGTTTTGTCTCGTTTATAACAGCAGCTGAAGCACTTTAGCTCGCTCTGCAATAATAATAGGATCCTCTGTCCATGAGGAAGAACGAGTGTTCTTTTTTTCCTTAATTTAAATTTAACCCAGGTATCATAATAACTGGTAATGATACTGACAAGATCATTGTAAAAGTGGTCCACTGATACAGGTGTATACCCAGTGTACCACTTGCGTATATAAGCCTTAAAGTGCGGTTTAAGATTGTCTGGAATGTTAATTTTAACTCTAGGATGAGGATTGGACGTAATATCCGCTACATTGTATTCACAATATACTGCAAAATGATCACTTACTAGCTCTGGGTTGAGTTTAACGTTGACGTTATTATCTGCTAGGCTGTACCCAATCACATAATCCAGCCTACCTCCCAATAAATGGGTCTGTTTATCAGTATCATACACAGTAATATTATGATCAGTAAGGTATTTCAAGAAGACCCTTCCATTATTGTTACACTGACCATCACCAAGAGCAGTGTGACGAGCATTAAAGTCACCCATACATAACATAGCTGTGTTACCTGTAGGTGTCGGTACCAGGTCTTCATTAGATAGTCCAAAGTTATCGTGCATATATTTTATACAGTAGGAAATGGCTATTTGCAGTTTGCAATTTAAACTTTTTATAATGTATACTGTCACTCTTGTGATTTTTGATTAAACAAACTCCTAGGGTTAGAACACTGAGAGGAACTTGGAGACGTTGAGGCAATATGCTCAGGTAGCGGGAAGAGCGCGCGGGTGGTGCCAGACATCTCAAGAGACCTCTGGGTATGTGGGTGTGGGCGGCGACGGTTACTGTAGTTGGGAGACGAACCCCCGTCCACTGCTCCACCACTCGAAGTGTCGCAAGAACTTCCCTCGACCCCTCTGCTGCTCAATAATTCACCCCATACACTACATGGGTCCTGAAAGACGAATAAATGTATATAACTTTGGTACCTATGAAGGCTATTATGTGTGTTAACTTTGGTACCTATGAAGGCTATTATGTGTGTTAACTTTGGTACCTATGAAGGCTATTATGTGTGTTAACTTTGGTACCTATGAAGGCTATTATGTGTGTTAACTTTGGTACCTATGAAAGCTATGTGTGTTATACTCAACCAACTTAAATGTTTATTTGCAGGATGTAGGAAAGGAAATGAAACTATTAAGGGGAAAGTACCCAGCCATGACGACTATATACATCAACTATATACAGACACACATGAGTCAGAGATGTCAGAAATAACTTCTCCAGTTTAAGTCATTATAATTAGTAAGAACTGGATGAAGTGGTCGAGGCCAATTCGATACACAGTTTTAAGTGTAAACAAGAAGAACGAGTGAAAAAGGTAAAAGAATTGAACTGTTGATATCCAAAGGTTAAGACTGGGTGTGTTGGTAAATGAATTTCATACATGCTATATTTTATGACGTCACGTGTGCGGGGGAGAAGTGTGGGTAGCGGTGGACGCACATCTGACGGCCCGGGGAAAGCCCCTCTCCACACACGTGACATCATACATTATCACATGTATGAAACTTACTCATCTACACATTGGGTCTAACCCATAGTGTTCCCATTATATGAACAAGTCGTTCACTTTCTGGTTTGATCGAATTGTTGAGCACTCTAACGAGGTCATTACCGCCTTATAATTTATTTATTTCCTTATAATTTATTTAATTTACAAATATAAACTTATTCAAAAAAGTGTACGTTTAAAACTATAGAAATTATAGAAGGTATAACTAAAACAGATATATATAAATCACATTCCTAACTTATCATAGACCTAAATAAGTAACCTTAGATCCAATATATCATACATATGTGCTATACTAAGCCTTCACAAAATTAGGCTTGGTTGTCTTTGTTCCCGGGTCCATAACAAGATTAATAGTGCCAAAAAAAACGGATTTTGTTTGAGGTCTATATTTGTACTCTCCGCTCATAGCTAAAATACATATATATAGTGTAATTTTCAGATGGGAGTGCTTAATTCCTTACACCTTGTATTTGTTTAATTCCACTTGGGCTTAAATCATGTAATAAAGCATGAACAATTGTAGAATATGTTACCTGGGGGTGCCAGGAGCGTGCCAGCATCATGTCCAGCAGGAGAGTGGAAGGCGCCGGCACCACCTCGCTATCTGGCAACACTTCATTCATCAGCTGGTTAATGCCACAGTAGCCTAGATCTTGACCAAGGGGGACCTCTCCCACCTCGACTTGACTGAGGTTGACCTCTACCTCGTCTTGGTGATGGTCATTCCGTCTGCGGGTGACACTGTCACTGGGTGTTGCCCTCCCATGGCTCATGGCTCACCAAGTGCCAAAGTTCCTCTATCACCGAGATATATATATTTTTTCAAAATCTATATTTCAGTTTTTTCTTAAACATCACAAATGTTTAAGTCTGTCTCTCTTCAGACTTTCAGTTTCTATAGTATAAATAAATAAAAAGCCTCTTGTCAGCTGGTGTGTAAACACACGTGCGTGCGAGAGCTGCCAGCAGCGTACTGAGACATGCACTCCACTCACCCGCCAAGTCGCGACTGCTGGTGAGAGGGTTGCCGGGTGCGTCTATATACTTGGTAACTATTATTATCACCAGTTGCGTCACGTTTGACTTCATCCTCTGTCCGCTTTATCACTCTCAGGTGCCTTTGTGATCAAATATTGGCATCCTGAGTGATATTTAGCGCCTTTTGAATATCCCTTGATACAGACGGTGATACGGGTCCCAGTTTGGTGCCAGCTTTTCATAATTACCGCCATTAGGATCTTCATATGGGACACTTAATCTCGCCTTATGTCATACTTAATCTCCCTCTTATGTCTATGCAGAAAAATATAGGTTTAGTGTGGAAGTGATCAGCTATATTTTGATGAAAATATTATTCATTACTGGTGGGAAGAGTTTATTGTGTGAGATATGTCGTGAGGCGAGGAGAAGCGGCCGCTCCAAGCCTCGTAACTCTCAATAGTACATCATTAATATCTAACCCACACATGTTTTTTTTTCATCTGTGGGAAATGAAATAAGTGACAACGTTTCGGTCTGTCACTTTCGTTTCGTGTATGTTGGTTGGATTATTTGTTTCAGTCACGGTATTGTGGGTGTCTCTGTACACCATTATTACATCACGTTGGGAGCCTTTTCTAAATTCCATCGGACTGTATTCAGATCTCAGGTTGCATTAGTGCCTGAAGACACATTCAAATTAGTGAAGATATAAATTTTTCTTGGAATATTAACCCAACTATTGTTTCTAATATATTAGTAATGTTATAACCGACATTCTTTCACTTTTAACATTAATATGTGTGTCATTGTCTGTTCTTACTAAGGTAGAAATAAGAAAATATAAAAATATGTAAAATATATTTAAAAAATTGAATAAATATAAAATATTACAGGTCACTATGAACATTCTTGAGCATACATGGAACACGAGCATACAAACATTTGCATATGAACTTTATACGAGTATCACTGGGGTTGTACATTATAAATTTTGTATTTCCTATACTGTACATGATAGCTAGGAAGCGAGCCTTATATTAATATCAATGTTGACCCTTCCGGTTGATGCTGGCGGCACCCATATGCTGCTGCAGGAATGTGTGAGTATATTCTTTCATTTGGTCCCTGAGTTGTTCCAGACCAGCAACCTTAGCTCGCAACTTCTGGTTCCTCTCCTTTAGCTTCTGCTCATCCTGTTGGAGGTTAGTTAACTGATGACGGTGTCTCTCTCGATACAACCGTGAAGACACGTTGTTTTGGTCTCTGATGCGCTTATATTTCTCCTCCTCAGTCAGCGTACTGTATGCTACCCGGGGACGTCGCTGGCGGTGTCTGGGACCGGCCTCGCTGCTGCTGCTGCCGGTGTCACTCTCACCGAGAGGGGAAACAGGATTGGTCACGCCCAGGTCCTCTGGTAGCGGGTAGAACAGCGGGTTGGACGGCATCAGGGAGGAAGAGGACGTCTGAGGTTCATCGATGGTAGTCTCCTTGGGGCTTCTCTTTGGCTTCCGTCTCCTACGAGTGTCTTGCTGGAGTGGCCTAGACGCTGCGGCACTGCTCATCGGGCTCTGTAAGATTTCGTCGGGACTGATGGTACCAAGATTCTGTAAGAAAATGTAATACGATTAAGACTGATGTTAAAACACAGTTTGGGAAAAACAATAAATAATCTATTGAGAAATATATATAATTGAAAAAACTATACTTCATAATCATTGAACTTTATTGCAATTGATCATTGTAATAATTTGCATACAAAATCATTTTTGAATATGGCAACCGGCAAGAATAGAGTTGATAGTGCCATATACATCTACTAGTTAAGCTACAATATTCACCTCTATCCCACAAAACTGCTTCTCTCCCCCTCACAACATTCTACCCACACCACTAGCTGTCTCTTCCACAAAATTCTCTCCCCATAGAATACTGTCTCTCACCCCCACAAAATTGTCTCTCCAGCACAAGTCTCCCCCCCTCCTACACTTTCTCTTCAACAAAATTGTCTCCAGCACAAGTCTCTCCTCTACAACACTCTCTTCCACAAAATTGTCTCTACAACATACTCCAGCGCAACACGATCATTAACTCACCAGCGGGTCGTCGTCTGGCCAGAGGGATAAGGCACCCAACTCCATGTCTAGCGAGGTAGATGTGTCGTACTGCCCGAGAGGGAAGTCTTCCTCCGGCAGTAGTGTGTTGACCACCTCCTGCAGGTCCTGCGGCATCTGCAGGCCCAGGAGAGCGTCGGGGGACGCCATCAGCTCAGGAAACTGAGTTATAGCCGGGGCAAAGGTAGAGCCGAAATAAGGATCGTCAGCTAATTTCACTTGGGATGCCCCTTTGAAGAGATTATCATCGTATGAATAACCAATTAATTCTGTGAACACTGACTGATCAGAAGTATCCATAGTCGCTGAGCGCCAAAATGCTTGTATGTATCCTTTATATATATTCTCTGGACCACTTTCTTCAGACACTGCGAGTACAGCACTTGCGGTAAGTGTACTACACTCGGGCAACCATACACTGCCAAGGGAAGGAGAGGAATGATCCTGGCTGGCCAGGCGCCGGGCATATATTGGTCTCGCGCCCTCTCTTGCATCATGTTGTGACCGTCAAAACGTTTATCATCGGAAGCGTTTTTAGACGTAAATCTCCACAAACGTGCACTTATTTATACACACTACAATATCTTAATTATAACAATAATTTCTTATAAAACTTTATGAACTAATGGAAATTGATAACATTATTAATATATGTACCAACGTTTGCAGGTATAATCTCACGCTGACTGGCATCTCAACTTGAGCGGACCAGCTGGTGCAGCGTTGCCAGCTCGAAATTATTACGCACTTTGTACCAAAGCAAATTTCATCCCTACCTTCCAATACCATCCTTAAAATCCTCAAAAAGAGTGATTTCTAACAGCCTGATAAATTTAGTGACGTGTGGTTCTGACAGGAGGTAGACGTAGTGACCACAGGACCGCGTACAGTTTAGTAGTTTGAGAGGCAGCGCTCAGTACATGTACCAACAGGATCAGTGACGTGACCATGACGTTCTCTCAGTCCTCAGGACGAACTTTTCCGTTTTCTTCACGTAAGAACGCGCGTAATATCTCTATGGTATGACGTAATGTATTATATGTATACGTTCAGCAAGCGTTATATCGGTCTAGTTTTGTTGTTTTTATCTCGGGTAGTCTCTAATTTTAGTATTATTGCTTTTAATTGACACTCCACCACCACTACACACACCCACACACGCTCTTTGACCAAAGAGCTAGAGATCAACCCCCGCAAGCACAACTAGGTGAGTACTCTCTCTCCCTCTCCCTCCCCCTCCCCCTCCCCCCCCGGAAATCGACACTATACATGCCAAATGACCAGAATATCATTTGGCTATCCAGATATCAATACTGTCTGTTATTTATGCGCCCACCCTAGGAAAGTTAGTCATCCAGGGTCAAGCGCTCAAGCACCCGTATAAGGATGTTGTCAAGAACACGGGAGTGGATAAAGTCATTAATGCATAGCTCCCCCAGGTACCTCAAGGTCTCAAGGGTCTAATGACCTGCCATTCAATAACTTGATCATAAAGTTTGTACGTGGATTGTTTAGGATTGTGAAAATTTAACGATAGCAAGATTCAAATGAGGAATTCCAGGTGTAGCAGTTCGCATTAGTCATCGCCCAGGAATTGTGATATCGCGCGCCAGGCCCAGATATTAATTTTACAGGTTATGGGTCCGCGCTTCTTCATGGCTATAATAAGGGGTTTTGTGGTAATTATCGTGTTAGCTCCAGTTCTATCGTAAAATGTTGCAGTTATCGTAGCAATGTAGGTTATTATAGCAATGATCAATTGAATTATCGAAGGTGCAATTGTTATTATTGTTTATATAATTATGATATTATAATAATGTTTCAGATATGTGAAGCACTGTAGCCTACTTCAGTGTTTGAGATATGCGCATGAAGCACTGTAGCTTGTTACAGTGTTTGAGATGTGTGAAGTACTGTAGCCTGTTACAATGTTTGAGATGTGTGAAGTACTGTAGCCTGTTACAGTGTTTGAGATGTGTGAAGCACCGTAGCCTGTTACAGTGTTTGAGATGTGTGAAGCACCGTAGCCTGTTACAGTGTTTGAGATGTGTGAAGCACTGTAGCCTGTTACAGTGTTTGAGATGTGTGAAGTACTGTAGCCTGTTACAGTGTTTGAGATGTGTGAAGTACTGTAGCCTGTTACAGTGTTTGAGATGTGTGAAGTACTGTAGCCTGTTACAGTGTTTGAGATGTGTGAAGCACTGTAGCCTGTTACAGTGTTTGAGATGTGTGAAGTACTGTAGCCTGTTACAGTGTTTGAGATGTGTGAAGCACCGTAGCCTGTTACAGTGTTTGAGATGTGTGAAGCACCGTAGCCTGTTACAGTGTTTGAGATGTGTGAAGCACTGTAGCCTGTTACAGTGTTTGAGATGTGTGAAGCACCGTAGCCTGTTACAGTGTTTGAGATGTGTGAAGCACTGTAGCCTGTTACAGTGTTTGAGATGTGTGAAGCACTGTAGCCTGTTACAGTGTTTGAGATGTGTGAAGCACTGTAGCCAGTTACAGAGATGGTATGTTTCCAACCAACAGTTGTCCAATTGACAACGGGAAGTATCAACATTCGTCCATTGGACAAAGGAAACATATACAGTCTTCCAGTGGAAGACTCTTCCCCAGGTGAACTTTCTAGGAATAATTTTTTGACACGACGTAGCCAACGTTTCTTGACCACAACGAAACCTACGTAACTGAGGAGAGCGGATTATGAGAACTTTTAAAGGTTGACTAAACAATTCTTGGGAATATTAAGATCGTCATGGTTTTTCCATTTTGGGGAGCTCTCCTAGGGTAATCGAGGTCCCCTCAATTGTTCAATCCATAAGGATGCGAGCCACAACAGTTTGCAAACTCCTGTGTACCTATTTACTGCTAGGCTAACTGACTCTGATGTTAAAAGGAAACGTGCCCAAACGTCTTGGCATGCCTGGGAATCGAACGTGAGTCCAATCGGTTGTGAACCGACTGCTTACGTACCGTATACTGATCCTGTGAACGGCATTGGCACTAAATTTATACTTTCTAGAAAGAAATCTTCAAGTGGACGTCAACAGTTTGATGAGAAGAACAAGTGACAATGAAATCATGTTGGATAAGTTTAGATTTAGAAAACAAATTGACAAAAAACTGGTTTGGAAAGGCTGGCAGTTCCATCATAGAAGCAAACTCACTGAAGAGAGTGTCAAGCATGGGCTCGACAGTTCTGTGAATGTTGGCGGTTTAATACAAATAGGAGTTGCCTCGCATGGGGCATTAGATCTTATGCTGGGCACTTTATTCCTACGTTGATATATTGGCCTCGCAAGTAATGATACTCTTCAGGACAATATGGTGATCTTGATCATTGTTCTGTGCTCGCGTTGCCCTTCGTGGTCGCATTTCTTGTTAAGGTCTTCAGTAACTCTTGTATATGTGTGCTACCTTAGTCATGGTATGGCGTGCTGTCTAGGTCATGTTATCTTACAATAATTTTAGTTGTGTTATGATTTAACGTTACTATAATTATATGGTTATGTTGTTATCACGTTATCTAGAGCACGTTATCATGAAGATGAGAGTGGAATGAGGGAGGGAGAGAGAGGAAGGGTAAGAGGCATGAAGGTAGGGACAGAGACAGGAAGAGAGAGAGATAGAGAGGGTGGGTGGAAGGAATGGTGAGAGATAGGGAGAAGGGGCGAGAGGCAAAGAGGAAGCGTGTGAGAGAAGTGTACGTTCGTAGGAGGAAGTGAACGTTCGGTGCCTCTAGGGAGACAGACGGTGGGTGGGTGGGCAGGTTGCGGGTGGAGGGATGCAATACTCGTCTATCACCGCTCACCTACATGTGTATATCATACATTGCGTTATACTGTGGGACTGATGGTCGGGGGATGAGCCACGTCTGGGTATGGCTAAATGAATAATCCACCCAAGTTTTTTATAAGGCGGGGGAGGAAGGTGTTATGAATGCTGCTATGGCGGTGTATTCACTCACAAGCCTAGTGACGCGACCCGGTCGACTCGTCCGTCGGGGCAACCTCTCAAGGCAAGTGAGGGCAGTGTATGAGGTACGAGAGCAATCCATGAGGAGTGAGGTAGGGCCAGGAGTGAGGTAGGGCCCAGGAGTGAGGTAGGTGAGTAATGGGTTGAGGGAAGGAGAGGAACTGGAGCGATGAGTGGGTGGGGCAGGGGTGGGCGCAACAGGAAAATTCGTGTTGTATACTGTATTGAGTATTGACTACCCTCCTCAATCGCCTTTGAGAAGCTCCCACTTGTGATATATATATATATATATATATATATATATATATATATATATATATATATATATATATATATATATATATATATATATATATACATATATGTATTATAATCACTGGTGCTTAGGGTTTATATCTGGTGTGTACTGTCATATACCATCTTCTTCCCTGGTCGGCTGCCGCCACGGATAAGATAAGGAGCCCTCAAGCTTGTAAGCCAAGGGTTGTTGGAGAGAGGAAGTCCTGTTTTCAAATAATTTGCGTAAGTATAGTTGACAGCTCTACGTGGGTCCTGTAGATCGTTCTGTTCCTTCGTATTTTGTAGCGCCTGTATATTGTGTAGCTCCTCTGTATATATATGTAGATTGTGTAGTTCCTATATATATGGAGATTGTGTAGTTCCCTTATACATGTTGATTTGTGTATTTCCTTTATATATGGAGATTGTGTAGGTCCTGCATATGTGTACTTTCTGTAGCTCCTACATATGTATACTTCCTGTGGTTCCAACATGTGTACTTCCTGTGGTTCCAACATGTGTACTTACCGTAGTTGATACATGTATACTTCCTGTAGTTCCTAGTTACATGTAGTCCGTGGAACGTAGCACAATAACATTTCCAAGGTTGTGAGTCATAACCAGTTGTGAAAAATTAAAACTAAAGGATTCAGTTGTGTTCCGTATTAAACAAAGTTATTTCACACAATTTTACACAAGCAAGCTGTGTACAGTACACATTTGTAGGTATTTGTGTACACAACTTCTACTGTCATATGTTTCTAGTACATCTTTCTCTACAGCTGCTACTACTAATATTCACACTACTACTGCTCTATGGTTGTTTCCTTTCACACTAGTATTTCTACTATTTGTGTTTAATTCCATAAATTAATACAACTGTAGTCAGTGGTAAATAATACACAGTTTCACTTAAGTATTATTTTTATATTTGTTGCATGTATTATGTTTATATAAAGTCTATGTAAGCCTCATCGTGATACATTTAAATTGTGTATTAGCCACTATCTTTCATCATAATTCTTACTGCTGTGCACATGTTCACTCCAGCTTTAACGAACAAAATGTTACGAACAAACATTTTAAGTCAAATACACAGATTTTCGGGGACATTTTAAATTTATTTGCACGTTTTTCTGCATAATACACGAGATAGTACACACACACACACACACATATATATATATATATATATATATATATATATATATATATATATATATATATATATATATATATATATATATATATATATAATTTAATACAATTATAAAATGGCATATTTTGTCCCTGAAAATAATACAGGAGACGCAGCCTAAGGTTTAACTAAAGCAGTAATGGCGAGGCTGCCAAATATACTTTTCTTTCATGGGCACGGGAATACCAGCGTCCCGCCTGCTACCCTCAGGAAACGCCCAACTTCATTACTTTCATTAAGTGGTCAGTTACTTTTTTCAGCTTTTCGAATTTGCGTCGAAGCGATATGTTTTTCTCCTCTAAAAGTCTTAGTTCTTCCTTCATATTCAAAATATTTTGACGTCGACGCTGGCGGTAGGAACGTGAGGCAATATTATTCAGTTCCCGGGATCTCTGACTCATCTCCGTCGGGTTGCTAGACTTGGCTCTATTAGTGCTTGAAGAAGTCCCTCGTCGTTGTCTGTTTGACCTGACGCTGTCATCTCTGCCTGCAGGAGTCCGTCGTCGTTGTCTTCTGGGCCCAGCACCGTCATCCTTGCTTGCAGAAGCCTGTCGTCGTTGTCTTCTGGACTCGGCGTCGTCTTCTCTGCTTGCAGGAGTCCGTCGTCGTTGTCTTCTGGGTCCGGCAACGTCGTCGCTCCCTGCAGGAGTCCGTCGTCGTTGTCTTCTGGGCCCGGCACCGTCGTCGCTCCCTGCAGGAGTCCGTCGTCGTTGTCTTCTGGGCCCGGCACCGTCGTCGCTCCCTGCAGGAGTCCGTCGTCGTTGTCTTCTGGGTCCGGCACCGTCGTCGCTCCCTGCAGGAGTCCGTAGTCGTTGTCTTCTGGGCCCGGCACCGTCGTCGCTCCCTGCAGGAGTCCGTCGTCGTTGTCTTCTGGGCCCGGCACCGTCGTCGCTCCCTGCAGGAGTCCGTCGTCGTTGTCTTCTGGGTCCGGCACCGTCGTCGCTCCCTGCAGGAGTCCGTCGTCGTTGTCTTCTGGGTCCGGCACCGTCGTCGCTCCCTGCAGGAGTCCGTCGTCGTTGTCTTCTGGACCTGATGTCACCTTGACTTGATTTAGAAGAATTTACACGACTTAAATGTTGGTTGCAGTGAGAAGGCAAGCTAGCCTGTGGCAGGAGTTCGTTGTGTATAGTCTTGAGTGCTTCTGGCTCGGTGATAACCTCCTCCACCAGGTATCTGGCGAGGATAGCGTCCAAGTCCTGCAAGAGACAAAAATACTTCATACATGATAATGATGGTAGCAGTGATACTAGTACAAAGCTGTTAAAGAGTAGAGCTGGTATAAAAGGTGGTGCAGCTGCGACACCCTCGACCAGAGTGCTGGAGCTGCCAGGTTTAGTATTATTACTCTAAAATTTATGCCACTAGAAGTATTATTGTAGTCAATTGGTATGTCATTACTAGTATTAACGAAGGTAGTGAATTACAACCAACCTGATCGGGCGGGAAGTCAGAACTATCCCACTCATGTTGGCCCAGGAGCAAGAGCTCCTCTTCACACTGATTGACGGTAGCTTCCGGCGTCCTCGCCAGGCACTGATCCACCTGTAATTTGTCGCTGGCGGGTAAGTTGTTATTGCAGGTGGCCTCTTGTCCAAGCACAACGTAGTTCCTGCTGGTGAGCCCATGTTCCATTGCTACACTCTCCGTATGAGGGAGCTTTGTTATTTCCTCAGACGAACTATCTGTGGTGAGGGAGTTCGAGGACGGGCTGTCTGTGGTGAAGCAATTTTTGGACGGGTTGTTTGTGTCAAACATTCGATCCGTGGTGAGGGTAATCATGGACGGACTGTCCACGACGAAGCTATTCGTATGCGGACTGTCCACGTCAGTCAGACTGTCTAGGCTCAGGCAATTCGAGGTGAGGCTATTTGTGTCCGTTATGAGGTTATTCCCGTCACAGGTATCAGTAATGAAGCTATTTGTGGAAGGATTATTTTCTGTGAAGAAGACATCAGTGGACAGGTCATCCACGGGTACATTATCTGCGGCTAGTATCTCCTCAAAGTATAAGGATTCCATCTGCGTATTATTTTCTATACTCTGACAATAGAAGCTGGCGAAAGATTTCTTCATGTAAGCACTAAACACTGTATCATAGAACTGATCGGCATTGTCACACTCACTTCCATCCACAGTCAAATTCACAAACGTTTGAAGTGCCATAGTCGCATCGGAACACTCCGCTTTATAAATTCTACTACACTGAAAGCTGTTATAGAGTAGAACTGGTATAAAAGGTGGTGCAGCTGCGACACCCTCGACCAGAGTGCTGGAGCTGCCAGGTTTGGTATTGTACAGGAACTGGACGTTTGGCTTTCGTGATAGCTCTTGCGTGCTGGCGAACGTTTGGTACCCGAGTTACCGCCAACTATGAGATTTTACGTAACAGATTATTATAATTTACTCTTTTTGTATATAAATATACTAAGGCTTCAGTCTTTGTCTTTAGAACCCGTAATTTCTCGATATTGGTGTTACGATTTGATGCATATGTTATAATAAAAGTTGTTATTTTCACGAGTAGTGAAGTGTGGCAACTGTGCCATGAGAGCGCTGCTTGTCAAGAGCGTCATGCCCGGCTCCCTCCCGCCCTCCCTCCCTCTCCCTCCCGCCCTCTCCCGCTCATATATTCACCATCCTGAATTATTTTGAGAAATAGTTTATACTAATAAAAGAGTTACAGCTCAGGACAAATGGGGGACATTTGACAAGCTACCGCCTTCCTGTCCTCGTCGAGGCCACTAGTGGCCTACAGGGAAATTCAGCTCAAGATGCTGGGGGCCAAAGGAGTGGTTCACTTTCTCGACTCACAATCACTGATCCCGGGTTCAATCTTCTGGCAGGACAATTGATTACATATGTTTCCTTGCATCTGATGCCTCTGTTCATCTAGCAGTAATTATATGTACCCGTGAGTTAGTATATTGTGGGTTGCATCTTGGGGAAGGTCAGTTGTTGGACATATATAAGCCTGATTATACAGGCTTCCTGTCTCCGACAACGGTGATTAAAATTAGTAATTGTCATTCACCGAGCATACTTGAAGACATGCTTCTTAATACTATATATATTTCTGCGTCTTGATAATGACTAGATTTTCTGGCACTCACAGGATGGGTGTGGGGGTCCACTGTCACTCACAGGATGGGTGTGGGGGTCCACTGTCACTCACAGGATGGGTGTGGGGGTCCACTGTCACTCACAGGATGGGTGTGGGGGTCCACTGTCACTCACAGGATGGGTGTGGGGGTCCACTGTCACTCACAGGATGGGTATGGGGGTCCACTGTCACTCACAGGATGGGTGTGGGGGTCCACTGTCACTCACAGGATGGGTGTGGGGGTCCACTATCACTCACAGGATGGGTGTGGGGGGTCCACTGTCACTCACAGGATGGGTGTGGGGGTCCACTGTCACTCACAGGATGGGTGTGGGGGTCCACTGTCACTCACAGGATGGGTGTGGGGGTCCACTGTCACTCACAGGATGGATGTGGGGGTCCACTGTCACTCACAGGATGGGTATGGGGGTCCACTGTCACTCACAGGATGGGTGTGGGGGTCCACTGTCACTCACAGGATTGGTGTGGGGGTCCACTGTCACTCACAGGATGGGTGTGGGGGTCCACTGTCACTCACAGGATGGGTGTGGGGGTCCACTGTCACTCACAGGATGGGTGTGGGGGTCCACTGTCACTCACAGGATGGGTGTGGGGGTCCACTGTCACTCACAGGATGGGTGTGGGGGTCCACTGTCACTCACAGGATGGGTGTGGGGGTCCACTGTCACTCACAGGATGGGTGTGGGGGTCCACTGTCACTCACAGGATGGGTGTGGGGGTCCACTGCCACTCACAGGATGGGTGTGGGGGTCCACTGTCACTCACAGGATGGGTGTGGGGGTCCACTGTCACTCACAGGATGGGTGTGGGGAGGCACAAGCACCTTTTCCATTCACATATATGTATATACAGGAAATTTACGCATGCATATACATAGATCATAAATGTACTAAAGCAAGACTAATACATACATATTTGCCCGAAACGCTGTGCTTATTAGTGGCTTTAGGTACTGTATGTACTATCTCTATCTATAAATCCAATATTATGTTTATAACTCATCGTCTATGTATGTACTTTTACCTGAATAAACATTTGTATTTTGAATTTGGTGCACAATCGTCGTACTTTTGGCAGCCTCGTGCAAAGCGTATCGTACATAACTGGATTTTTTGTTCTTTTTACTTACAGGTCTGTCAATTTGGAAATCACACGGATGATTTTAATTTGAAATCACAAACAATATTTGCGAGATGTCAGTGTGTGTCCACTTGAAATTTGAGCCTCCAGCAAGCGTAAGTTTGGCAGCGCTGGTTGGGGTTAACCGGAACGTCTCTCATGCTTCATCTTGCTGGGTTGCGATGCTAGACGATCATATGCAGGCGCCATCACTTGTGTTTTTCTCTAAACAAGATATAACGTGCTTACATGATCCTGGAGACATGCTCCAGCATGTGTAGTTCAGATATTGATCCTGGAAACATGCTAGAGCATGTATGTATGTACAGATATTGATCCTGGAAACATGCTCCAGCGTGAATGTATGTTCAGATATTGATCCTGGAAACATGCTCCAGCGTGAATGTATGTACAGATATTGATCCTGGAAACATGCTCCAGCGTGTATGTATGTACAGATATTGATCTTGGAAACATTCTCGAACATGTGTATAGTTAGAAGTTGATCCTGGAAACAAATGCTCCGGTATGTGTAGTTGAGAAATGATCCTGGGAATATGCTCCAACACACGTAGTTCAGAGATTATTGATGAAACATGCTCCAACACGCGATAGTACTTAGGTGACTCCTATATACCTCCGTGGCCACTTCTTCATTCGGACGGATTTTCCTGTTTCTCCTCAGCAAGCCTGAAATGCCTTCCCTCCTCTTCGAGTTCTCTGACCTCCTTTACAAGGCCTATTTTCCGATTAACATTGATGGTTCAGACACGGCGGTCTACTTCTATCGACTGTCAATTTGTCAAACATGGGTGATTTCTCCACATCATGAGAGCCACCGCCCTTCAATTTTTCGTCGGCTGGTGGGTGATATCCGGACTGAAATACTATGGTAATTGGGAGTTTCTGGCTGGCATCTTGCCTTTCAGTGGATTCCCTCATACTCCTTGATTCGTGGGAGTCTTCGTGGATACAGTGGAGAGTGAAGCTGAACATTTCCTGCTGCATTATCCACAGTTCCACGCTGTTTGGGCACTTCGCTGCAACTGGAGAACGTGCAACTGAATGGCTTCCGGAACAGAAAAAAAACAAGAGCTATAGGAAAGGCTGAATGTTAAATATACTAACGCTAGAAGATGGAAGAAAAAGAGATGCTATGAACACTACATATAAAAAATCAACAGGAATCAACAAAAAATATTTGAAACCAGCATTTTAAAGAACGAGAGGTCATAGACTCAAGTAATGAAATAAAGCTGTCAAAACATATCATTAGCAAGTTCTCTTTTGCAGAGTGGCAGATGGTTGGAACAAGTTAAGTAAGCAGGTGGTAGAGATCAAAACCCGTCAATAGTTTCAAAGCATTATATGACAAAGTACTGGAAAGATGGGACAATACGGACTTAGCTCTCATACTGTAACTACACTTTTGTATCGCATTCAAAATTCCCGCCTCACGCTTCCGTTCTCATCGACCTTAGACGGGCATCGGTTCTCATCGGGTAAGACGTCTTAGAGAAGACGTCTTACTAAGTACTGTGACCTCACGTTTCGCTATCTACAGGCCACTCACAGATGTCTGTGGCCTGTACAGCCCGCGCCCGTAGGGCTCCCTGCTGGTTCGTAGGGGCCCTCCAGCTACGCCTCGATTGACGGGGTACATAGGGCCCTCAGCACTAGCTGGCCCTAACTCTATTGTACTCACATTCCACGAATATCACCTGCGAGATAGAGACATTAGGTGAATATAGTCTTTATTTAGTCTTATGACTTTGGATAGCAATACAAGGCTTAATACTTTAGCTTGTTAACACAGATTTATTTTATTATTTATAATAAAGACCTGCGCTTTTTCCAACAAGGACAATTTTTCCAAAAAGGCGCGGACCATAGTTACTTCATATGGAATATTTGGAAATTATCAAATATTTGTATTTTAAATTATTATATTCTAATGTTATACATTATGGCAATATAACTGTCCCATCATGTATTACGTTATTCAGCATCTTTAAGACTATTGTGAAGACTATAGTGAAGACTATTGTGAAGACTGCCCCCCAGGGCAGCATACTTGGCCCTCTCCTCTTTCTCATCTACATTAATGACCTTCCAAATGCCTCCCAACACCTCAAACCAATTCTATTTGCTGACGACACAACCTTCATTTACTCCAGTCCTGATCCCCTTGCTCTAAATACCACAGTAAATACTGAGCTTAATAAAGTCCATCTTTGGCTAACTGCCAACAAACTCACCCTTAACATTGACAAAACTTTCTATATTCTGTTTGGCAATAAATCCTCTAATCAAATAAATCTCAAAATAAACAATACCCAAATTTGTAACAAATTAGATGGCAAATTCCTGGGCATTCTCATTGACCACAAGCTGAATTTCCAGGGACACATTCTAAACATATCAAAAAAAGTTTCAAAAACTGTGGGCATTCTTTCTAAGATCAGATATTATGTACCACGCCCTGCCCTGGTGACTCTCTATTACTCCCTTATCTATCCATATCTCAACTATGGTATTTGTGCTTGGGGCTCTACTACCCAAAATCACTTACGTCCTCTAATTACTCAACACAAAGCTGCTATTAAGACAATATCCAACTCTGGCCCCAGACATCACTCGGTACCCCTACTCAAATCTCTGAATATGTTAGACATTAAGTCTCTGCACATTCTCTCATGTGTATTATACATATATAAAACGCTAAACTATAATGCCAATCCTGATCTCAAAAGCTTCATAGAAGGTTGTAACAGAACCCATGAGCACCACACCAGAAATAAATACAGTTTTGATATTCCTAGAGTACGACTTAATCAAACTAGAAATGCTCTACAAATCAAGGGGCCCAGAATGTGGAATGACCTTCCCGACCATGTTAAAGACTGTACCTCTCTCAACCAGTTTAAGTTAAAAGCGAAGCTATACCTAATAAATTCCCTGTAACCTACCTTACCCTTCTATTGTCAACCAATGTCTGTTTTTTCTTTAAAGAGCGCTGTTTGTCGACATATTTGTATTTGTGCTGCTTTTTCATCTATGTTTTCATTTCTTGTTTTCATCTACTCAGTATGCTCAATTAGTATTAAGCTTGTCATTTAAGTTTATCATGCCCGAAACGCTTTGCGTAATAGTGGCTTTAGGCATTGTATGTACTAGCTCTACCTATAAGTCAACCAATCTTTGTAAAAATTTATTGTATGTATGTACCTTACCTAAATAAAATATTAT